TCCTAGCATTCGGAATACAACAATAATAATGGAAGTCACTTTCAATACTCGATGTTGTTTAAAAATTTAAATTTATAAACCATCTGCCGCGTATAAATTTACGTAAGACATCCATTACTGCTTTTGCGAAAAGAAATCTCCTTTCAACACTCGAGAGTTTCATCCGAAGAGGTAACTGCGATTACTGCGCGATAGGTAAGGCGTCCGACTTAATAACAGTAACTCAGTGTTTTATTGCCATCGGAGAAATGGCACATTTTCAATTGCTTCTTTTCATAAATAATTTAGTACGCTTGATGAATAAGCAAGTTTAATTTTATTGTTTCCAATATAAAAGGGTGAATGAATTTCGATGTTGTTGGTTGCAGTATACGGACACAAGTACTAAAGCTCTAATAATATGTTTTGTGAAATTACCCTTATCGTTTCCAATGATTTGTTACGAAGTTTGGGCATATTATAAGAATTATTGGTGGTTTTTACTCAAATTTATGTTATCGCGTTTGGTCGCCATACAAATACCGAAGTTTCCTTTACTTTTGAAGAATTCTAGAATCTTGCTTGGAGCATTCATTCTTTATCATCTTCCTTCTGCAACACTGCTGGGAAAATTCCCTACATTCCTGCAGGCCGTTATGGTTGGATGTTTTAATCGCTCATTTAACTTTTGTCTGATGTTTAGATCACCAAAATTTAGATTCCTGGCAAACCCATGCGGATATTGTAATGGATAATTTCGAATTTTCAAAACTTTTTTACACATCAGACTTAAAAAAAACATTATTTCAAAGTAATGGTCAGTTTCCACATTCTTTAACCAAAATTAATTTGATTTGACAGTTTTTCTACAATTCATCATATTATTTAACGTTTACTTGTACTTGTCTATGAGGTGTCTTGAAAGAAAATGATGATGTAATTGTTCTAAGTGAAAAGGTACTAATATTGGCTGATCCATTCAGGCTACTTTCAGCTTTATATCCTTGCCGACAAAAGTCGTCGAAAGCAGAAATCTGAGTGAGTGTGGCAGGTAACTTAGACCTTCAGTGGCGTTAAGGTTTTTAGTTCCAGGGTATATGTCTCTGCTAGTTGTATATGCAGACTTAAGATCTCTTTTGTGTATCTTCATAACTGCCTCCAGGGTTACATCAGCATTTCCACATAGTGTCAACATATGTTCAGCCTTCCAAGGTGAATTAATTTGAATTAACTTAAATTAATTTGAATTAACATGAATTAATTTGAATTAACGTGAATTAAGTCGAATTAACGTGAATTAATTTGAATTAACGTGAATTATTCTGAACTGACCCTGAATGAATTTGAATGCATTTCTATCTATCATATTTCAAAACCGAACATAGGCAATGGGAAAAACGTTTTTTGAAGATATTTGCTCCCCATATTAACTTAGAGGGTTCATAACGACACTAATCGAAAGATGATTTTTTCCCATCTAATAATATACAAATTAGTACATGTTCAGTTGTAATTCTCATTATTTTTTCAAAAATTCGGCAACAAATCCAATTAGAAAAATATTAAGCCATGGAACTTGAATTAACGTGAATTAATTTTATTTAACGTGAATTAATTTGAATGAACGTGAACTAATTTTAATTAACTTGAATTAATTTGAATTTGAATTTTTGGTGTACACCAAAAATTGTACTTGTTTCCCTCTAGACTTTTATCTGTCGCCCGTCCGTCTGTCCATCCGAGGCCTTAACTACTTCTACAGTTTTCAATGTATTTAGTTCGTGCTTTTTGAATTCGGTAGCCATCTGAGCCAAGAAAAATCTTGACGATTAATGTGCACATGCGCCATATCAACTTTCTTATTGATTAATATATTTTGTTGAAATTTTAACCACAGATACCTAAAGGCAAACCAGGGTTACAGCCCTTTGAATTTTGTTTCGAAATTGGATTCTAGTCATAACTTTTGATTGAGAAGTCTAATCGAAAAAGTACGAATTGTTTTGGATTCTACGCACCAAAATTAATAAGAAAAAGTGTTTTCCCGAAAAATTTTGGTGTAGTCGATTTTTGATAAAAAAGGAAGGTTGTACACTGCCTTTTTTTTGGCCGGAAAAAAAATTGTCTCAGATCGGCCGGAAAAAAAATTTCTTATAGAATGTGGCCTGTAGAATCCAAAATTTCAAACAGTTCTAAGATTGGGCTACTAGTTCAAAAGTTACAGCCCTTTGAATTTTTTTCGAAATTGTTTTCTAGTCTATAACTTTTGATTGAGAAGTCTAATCGAAAAAGTACGAATTGTTTAGGATTGTACGCACCAAAATTAATACGAAAAAAGTGTTTTATCCCGAGAAATTTGGTGTAGTCGATTTTTGAAAAAAAAAGGGAAGGTTATACACTGCCTTTTTTTTTGGACCGGAAAAAAAAATTGATCTTCAGATCGGTTCCGGAATAAATAATTTCCTTATAGAATGTGGCCTCATAGAATCCATAATTTTCTTTAACAGTTCCAAGATTTTGGGTCTACTAGATCAAAAGTTACAGCCCTTTGAAAGTTTTCTTAACGAAATTGGTTTCTAGTCCATAACTTTTGATTGAGAAGTCTAATCGAAAAAGTACGAATTGTTTTGGATTCTACGCACCAAAATTAATAAGAAAAACTGTTTTCCCGAGAAATTTTGGTGTAGTCGATTTTTGGTAAAAAAAAGGAAGGTTATACACTGCCTTTTTTTTCGGCCGAAAAGAAAAATTGTCTCAGATCGGCCGGGAAAAAAAAATTTCTTATAGAATTGGACCTTTAGAATCCATAATTTCAAACAGTTCCAAGATTGGGCTACTAGATCAAAAGTTACAGCCAGGAGGCAAACATATCGCATATAGAAAAATCAGATGTTCACAGACTGCGCTTTCTTTGAAATGTTGATCAAAGATGCTTTTAGCAAGAGCAAACGTATCGCATGTTGTTTTAATTATTAATTAATTACTGTGCGGAGGCGCAGGATACGTCCTTGTTATTGTTTTAATGTTACACCGCAGTTCCGTATTGCTTAGTAGCCTACTTTGCCGAAGAATCCTTGTAACAATTTGTCTTCCTACTTCCTACTTATATTAAGTATTTATATCACACCCTTCCCTTTCGGGAAGAAAATCTTAAATAGATTTTCTTTAAAATAAGTATATAAAGAAACTACTTACTCTCTACACTACATGAACAATGAACATTAGTGAATTATAAACTTATGCCTAATTAAATTCAAGAATTAATATTTACATCTTATTGTTTCTATATTTAACTAAACTATTATTATTAACTTTATGAATTTTACCATTATCATCTACAATACTAGAATTTACCTCATCCTTATCTAAAACTACATATGGTCCTTTACATACAGGGTGAGTTTTTTTTCTATTTTAAGCATTGGGATCTCGGAAACCATAAGACATACAGCTCGGTTAAGTGAGGAAAGAGTTGTCGTTCTAAGAGCTTATTTAAGGTATGCTTTTGTTTTTTGAAAAAAATCCACAGTTCACTAGATATGAGCGAAAAACAGATTTAGTGATTTTTCATTTAACTGTTGTAGAATCGTTATTATTAGAAATACAGCAAAATGACACGAATAAAAGTTTTAGACATTTTAATGCTTAACATTATGAACATACTAAGTTCCTTATATATTTTACAATTTTTGAGTTATAATACAAACTTTAATTTTTTTTAATGAAGTCATAGTTGGCTTTGACATTTTTAAAAAGGACAAATTTTTCTCTTTATAACGATATAAGGCTTGCTAAATGTACTTTAATAAATAAACGCGCTGCAGGAATTTTCGTATTATTGAGAGGTAAATAAGCAGAGTTTGCCATGGAAAACAACATCTAGTGAAATAGGTAATAGTGTAACTGTGGCACATTTAACATATTTAAAGGTCATTTTTGAAAATTCACCATTAAAGTTAAATTAACAACTATATTCAATACACTATTAAAAGTAGATCATATCATGCCATGGAAAACAATAAATAAACAAAATACTGCTGTTTATTGTTGAAGGCTTAAAAAAACTTGGATTTTATGTTTGGTGCGGAATTATTGGATCAGGAATTCTTGGACCTTTAATTTACGATGAAAATTGGACGGGCCAACGTTATCTTCATTTGCTACCAATACCAAACGAATGTCAAGATATGTAGGATGGGTCCAAGCGTTAGCCGTGACCTTTTCACAAACCTGGCAGTTCTCAGTTGCACTGATGTTCGCTTTGAAGACATAGGTCGGATCTGCTAACCGCCAGCTAATTTCTGCCATTGAACCAGATGTACAGAATTGAAAAAGGATAACAAGTTAGTATGGTTCTCGGTCCAGTAGTTTACTAATTTTCGAATTTAAATATTTGACTAAATTCTGGGAGACGCGGCTACGCCAGTCATATGCCAAATTATCAAGTATCGACAGGGTAACTTTTGCAACGAAACGTTTTTCAAGACGAAAAGGGGTTCCAATTAAATTTCCATATTACATAGGAGGTTACCTACCAATGAGATAAATTTCACTAAAAGTTTGATTAGTACCTATAGCGGTTGTAATGCCGAGACGGTGTTAAAGACAAGTTTTAAACCGTTAACTGCATAGTTCCATTTACATTCTGTTTTAAGATGAAACAGCACCTTGTAAAAGTATAACATTTTAAAATACAAGTACTGGCAATAAGCAATTAATTACACGCCCAGAACCTGGAACCATTTCTTAGCCTGGTTTACAGCTATTCTTCAATGAATCACGATTCTCTCACGGCAATTCATTCCATTTAACAAGAAAACATTCAACAAATTTGTTAGAGAAACGCTTCCACTGCGGCCGTGCCCAAAAAATCGTTTCCTTTCCAAAATACAGAAATGACGAGCAACTATAAAGAACCTTTCGAATTACTGTCAATACCTTTGTCGATTTACGATTAATGTCACCAGACCATTTGGTGAAGCTTTATGTGTCGTTGCGTAATTGGCAATATATTGTTACAGGCGGTGATAAAAACGTCGAGAGTCACCTGTAAGTGCCATGGGGTGTCCGGTTCCTGCTCGCTCATTACGTGCTGGCAGCAATTATCAAATTTTAGAGAAATTGGTAAGTAACCAGCAACAGTATCGGTGTGTGAGAGAAGTGCTTTACAAATTTGAATTTTTGTATGGACAGGTCATGGGTTGTTTATCGGCAACAAAGAAATTCTGGGCTGCTATGTCATTGTAAATAATTATTTCGACATGAGTAAATAGAAAGGGAAAATTTAAGCGTCGCTTTGACTACAATAGTAAATATCAATAAATTTCAGAACAATATAGGCTTGGGCAAGACTCGCATATTTATTTACTTTTCGTTCGGAAGATTTACGTATTATTAAAGAATCTTAATTATAACGATTAAGAAACCTCTCCCGATACCATTAGTGCTCTTTACCACGAACATATATCAGAAAAATGCGTTTCTGTGAGTCTTCGAGGTGCATAAATACCAGTGAAAGTCGTTTAATTTACATTAGAAGCTTTAGTGTATTCACTGATTTATTAAACGATCTCCAAACCCACTTACGAACGTGACATTCTGTGTAGGCCGAAAAAGCATCAACTAACAATTTAAAATTAGTAAACATTAAGATCTTTCCTACGTAATTGTGTAAACGTTTCTGCATTGTAATTAAAAGCACACTTATTAAGTATGCTCTTAGCGTTTGTGTTTGCATGTGCTCCCGCGTCAAGGGTGTACTATTCACAAGCCTTTTAATTGTTGATACTACATCTAATTTACAGTCTTAGAAACAAATTACTACCAACTACTTATTATAAGAATGTAGGTAACAATTTTATAGAAATATTCAAGGGCTTTTTGTAAAAAGTGTTGCTAATTTTGAAAGGTACCTTCACTATAAACAAATGATGTTGCCGTTTTAAAGAATCAAAGATCTACAAAAGGGTCATTAGAACGTAGGCAATATGACATGTTGTAATGGGTACAAGGGTTGAAAACCCTCGTGCGTACCAAATAAAATTGATTTTCGAATGCAATGACAACATTTTTTCTCTCACATTGAATTGAACTCACGGCTAGCCCTCTAATGCCCCTTACCTTGCGGAAGTTTGATCCTTCCGAATATCAAAACTTGGCATTCTGCAAATGAATAAATAAATACACATTTAAAATGAAACTATGATAAAATAAAGTCGATCTAATTTTATTTTTATTACATTCCGGCTGATTTCGTTCTTACAAATACAGAAAATGCGTGACCACGTTTCGTTCTAATTTCCCTTATTTAAAATCCTTTTATGGATAATAAACTTAGGGTAATTTTTTACACCAAATATACCTACCTAAACTTAAAATTGAATTTATTTAAAAGAATATTATCACCTAAAAGGAATACAAATTTTCTCTTCTCATGAAAAATAACCAAAATGGCTTCTTATTTACGCAGACGGCTATCTTTAATCGTTAATTCGTTTGCTTAATTCCCACCCTGCGAATCAAAATCATTCCCAAATACGACCACCATATGCTATGTTGCAATTTCCACGATGCTGAAAATGGGCCCTCTAACTACACTAACTGTAACTCACAACATTTGAAATATTTTAACTTTACATACCTCTTTGGAAAAACTTGGAAAAGATAAATCCAAATTTGGAGCTACCGTTACAACAATCGCATTACTATTGTTATCACTAATTAAACCACTTCGTATTTGAGTATTTTCGTACATAAAATGCTAAGCGTGTCACCTTATTTAACGATGACCGCATTATTTGTTCCTACTTTAATTCAGACGAATGATACGATTGCTTGAAGTGCAACGGGTTGGCATATTAAGGGGGTTGACCATCCCTTTTGCTTTCTAATTGAACTTTCTTTAGAAAATAATGCTTTGTCAAATTGTTTGCCCACGGTTATTGTGAATTACCCCTAACTTACTGTCAAACCTAACAATATACAGCAAACATTTTTATACATAATTTAACTTATGTGTTTATAATCAGAGTTTGGAGATTTTGTTCTTGATCTCTTTGAAGAAACTACCTTTAAATGAGAAACTGGTTTTTTTATCAAATCCAATTCCAATGGGTTCATAAATGGCAAATATACATGCAATACAAGCGCAATGAAAGCTTTTATAACTCCAAATTCATATACAAAGAATAATTTTGGGTACATTTTGCTCTAAAACTTTTGACCTAGGCCACAGAGAAGAGTTATATTGAATTGTTACAAATCTAAGAGTCATAGGGAATAATCTAGCGAAAGTCCGAACTCGATACCTGACTAGGGAATTAGATATGTTGATTTCTATTATATTGAGTTATTCCCTAGGTTATTCCTGTTCCCGATTTACTCGAAGTCCTATAACTTTTGTTCCTGGTGAACCAACTTCCTGAAAATCAGTAACGTCCGTCCTTAATATCCAAAGTACCCGTTAAGAGTTATAGCGCACATAGACGGACGGACGGACGACCATACAAAACTATAAAATAAAACTATCTGAGGATTCTTAATAAATGAATATCACTGAATCTCGTAAAAAGAATGTCCCCCTGCACATAAAAAAAGCTCGGTTGGCTCTACTTCCATCGACAATATTTTTTTTAAAAATGGACCTGTGGATTAGAACTTCCCCTGAGGTATTGACACGGCATTAAATTCTCAGGTGAATTAATTGTTTTCTGAGCGTAGTGTTTTTCGATCCATGAACGTCTATGTTTAGATTTTAAGAGCAATGTTGTTATTAACGGTTTTTTTACAACCTTTTCTACTACCAAAAGGAGAAATTTTAAAAATTGCTTGTTCATTTTCACTAGCAGTAAAAAAAACTACACTGAATTTTTTAATACCGGCGCGTTTAATTAGTTTGTCCTTGATTGGAATACGTTTATTTAATTTATTGTACTAAAACGGGCGTACTTGACGATAGTCGTTATTTCGTCCGATTGCACAATAATCCTTTCTTGTGGTGTAACAAACTGACACATCCAATTAACTCGTTTCTGTGCATTAATTTATCTAACTGGTAGAGTTCGCGGAATTTTTCCTCGTAAACTATCGCAATCACTCTTTCTAGCCCGGAGCCCAAATCTCTGTTTACTTTGAGCTGCACTTATCCAAAGCCGAATGGTTTTTGAACTTTTTTCTTGAAACTTAGAAATTGATGCTCCCGCGATCAAAGGACCTGATTCTTTTCCAAAATTTTCCCGTATTAATTCTCCGCCGAGAGTCTCTCAAAGAACAAATTTACTTTTCTGCTAATTACTGCTTGCTCTGTGGTAATCCAGACCCGAATGAATGGACAACGCACTAGCCCAGGGGTCGACAACCTGCGGGGCGGCTCTTTTGATGTAAAGTTATTTTATTACGAAATAGAAATCGAATAGCGAAACAAAACAGTGGTAGTTCCATATGAAAAAGAATAATTATGGCACTTTGTAGTTTGGAAATTATTTTCTCACCGTGTATCACTAAATCCAACTTTCTCATTATCAAAGTGTTGCCCTTTACTCGAATTAACACTATTGATCAAATGTTTCTTAAGATCATAAAATCAAGGTGGCTACGATTCAACAAAATGAAGCTTGCTATTCGGGAAAAATTAATAAGATTGCAACGTTGACCAAAAACCAAACAGTACATAGGTTTCCATGTAGAGGTTAGCAAATGACCTCGCAAATGACACTGAAACCAGTAAAAATATACAGTGTGTTCTATTTATTTATTGACACCGTAAAAATGGGACACCCTGTACATTTAAAAATAATTTTTGTAGATGCGCAACCATCTATAGTTGAGATTTGTACAAAATTTTTTATATATTTTTACCAGGGATGAAGTATGAAAGACCTACGCACAATTGCGGGACCCTGTATATAACCAAATACTATAATATTCAATCGAAAACCTTGAGGGGTGCTTTAAAAACTGGGAAATTTTGTAAATTATAACTTTTGACTCTTCCGTTTCAATCATTTGCCGACTCCTGCACTAGCTCCGTTGGTGGCTCAAACGCAAATTGACCTCAAATCTCATAACTCGAGCTTCTATTGGCGACACGGGAAGGAGAGACCGCGATTCGAGCTCTAAGAAACTTCTGGGCAACCAAAGTCGACTACCTCTCGAAGCACACCGTGCAAAAGGTGGTTCATTTGCCCCCTAAGAAAAAAAATCGGAGAAAAACTGTAGAAGAAGATAGAAAAAAACTAAAAAATCTCCAGGTTAGTATAACACGCTCGGGGATGGCGCCCAGATGTCGCCGAACCCACATCTTCTAGCCCTGTCCCTAAAGTTAATTACGCGGCCCCGATAGTGTACATGTACTCTCCTCGTCTTTTTACAAGCGTTCTTTTACGGGACCGCATTTACTGCCACCCACCCAGCCAAAGTGAGTTTAAAAGCTACTTTTTTACAAATAAATTTGCAAAAATGCGCTAAAAAGTATGCAATACGAAATTGATATACCCGAATAAATATAGAGATGGGTCGATAAAGTTGCCACCCCAAATGTTTGCCCAAATCAAATAAAAATATACCTATAATTAAAGACTAATTTGTACCCACAAAATTAGATTTGTACCCGCTTAGTTCTTCCGAAAATCCGATTTTGCAAGTGTGGGTGCTAACTTTAAATCACCCCCACCTTAGAAGAATCGGTTTTCTCCAGGCGGATACAAATTGTGTGGGTACATATTAGCATAGTATAATACATATTATGATACACTTAATAGCCACGTCCGACTCAATTTTCCTTAAAGGGCAGTTGAAAATGTGCAATTTCATGTAGGATTTGTAGAGCAATTGTACGTCAATGATTCAGTATCTGGAATTGTCTTTTGTGTATGCAATTGGTACATTTGCGCCATCTCTTTGGTAATCCCTATTCTTTTCCAAAATAATTTCTTGTAATAGTTGAACCAGTTCCAATCAGAGCAGGGCAGAATACTTTCAAAAAAAAATTTTCATACTAAATAGCAAATACTTTAGAGTTTAGACAAATCAAAAGTATTTGAATACTTTAAAGTATTTGAATACTGAAAAGTATTTACAAAATCGAATACTGCCCAGCTCGGGTTCCGTTTATTTTTATTAATTCTGAGAATTGCCCTTTTTTAGTAAAAAATAAATAAATAATGAAAATCTAATTTGGGTACAAATTAGTCTTTAATTCCTTAGTCTTTAATTAGTCCTATATTATAGGCATATTTTTACTTGATTTGGTCAAACCGTCAAAGTGGGGGGTAGAAAACTACTACATCATTGGTAGATGTACAGCCTAAAACGCTGCAGCCAACAAACACAAAATCTATGTATATGTTACAGTGACAGTGTGAAATTGACCAAACACTATTGGGTAATATGATCCCTCTGTAGAAAAAATTAGTACCTATATTCCAAAAATTATTTTCGGGTGACCTAAAAATTGTACTTATTCAACTTATATCAATAAAGTATAATTTTGGTCTATCTAAATTTCCAAGAATTCATTACGAAAGTTCAATTCCATGTGAGACACTCCGTATAAGAGTAGTTATTATCGGTAATAAGATTCTGTGTAAATCTTGGCAATTGAAACGGTCCCGTTAGTACCTAAAGACTTCCCTGCGATCAGATGTCAGAGTGCCACATTAGTTCTTGTCCAGCTTGCGGAAAAGGCACGCAAAGTCTTCCGAACATCTACCAAGGTTTATTATTATGCAAAAAATTGTCGTGTTCATTTCCCAAATGGTATATGTATTCGTGTTGTAGCTACCAGCATCATTAGAAATCTGATAATGTTTCTTGGATGTTGTATAAAAAAGTTCTTGTCACTGACATAAATAAACCATTGGAACACAATGTAAATTTACTCTTAACATCGTAGTGTCGACATGAAATATGCAAATGCATCGTGTGCGGCCACAAGTACGAAGGTACACAATATTAAAGACAGTTTATCAATACAACTGTCCGAGCAAAATAAATGATTTTTCAACCATTTCCTTTAAGGGACCAAGAGAATTAGCGACGAATTAAAGCGTCGGGGTATAATTTTATTAAGGACGCGGAGATTACAATAAATCATTTGTAACCCACGTTCAATGTTTGCAGTATAATTATAACGCGTACATTTTATTGTATACGAACATGTAAAAAAACATCAAAGAACAATGCTAGCGTGACACGAACCAAGACGAATTACAAAAACTGGCTAATACATAACAGTCATTATTGTTGATATACGTACACTGTCGTTCGTAATCTAGCATTAAAGTCTCCGTTGTACTACCATCTCTAACGCATTAAATTAAACGTGCGAGGAATATTTAATTACCTTCGTTCAAAATACCGATTGTAGATTTGGGGGTAGTTCCCTCACAGATTGTGTTAGCGTAAACTGAGTTACAAAGCAACATTTAGCAATTAAGATGTAATTACGGCAATTTATTTTAATTTAAGCGCAACACCTTTATAGTACAACAAAGGAATGAGATAATTACATCTCAACAGTACAAAGAATAACAAATGCATTTATTCGTTTGAGAATTGTTCTTAGGAAAACAACAACTTTCACTTTGGTCAGAGATTTATATGTGGACAACTCAGTTGTATTAAATTTCCCTTCCCCTAGACGAAAACAATAACGCCTTTTTAATAAAGGAAATTGTTATTCTGACCAAAATTTGTGAATTTTTCAGGTGATTACATACGCGACAAGTACGATGGAGCAACCGAGGTTCGCGTGACCAAGCACGGACGTCTCAAGCTGCGAAACTCAAAATTTCGACTTCCCACAGCGAACGACCTGGTCTATCTCGAGGAATCGCCAAATTACTGCCTTCGAAACGTTTCGATCGGCTCCCTGGGAACGCAGGGACGTACATGTAATCGCACCTCAATCGACTTGGACGGTTGTAACCTGCTGTGCTGTGGTAGAGGTTACAATACCTTAAAAAGTACAATAAAGGAACGTTGCCAGTGTAAATTTAAGTGGTGTTGTGAGGTTGAATGTAAAACTTGTATAAAATCCGTGGAACTCCATACGTGTAAGTGAACACGCCAAGGTACCTGTGTAAAACCACCATAATTTTTGCCAGAAATGTATAAACATATTCTTTCTCTTGATCTAGTCTGAAACTCCTTTTGTCCATGACTTCTTCCGCCGAAGAAATTTTTTTGAGCAGTATTGTAAACTATGACGAAGATATTTATTTTAATTATTTATTTTTTTATTTGTTTTTTTAGTTTTTCGTTCGTGCACTTACTGCACATACTTCAGTATTGTAGTTGAGTATTGTGCTAGAGCTAGATGTAGTAACTAATAACATTTTTTATAAACTTTTGTACAGTACAAGATGTATGTAGCGAAATCGATAGTAGTAAATAGAATAAAAACATATTCCGACAGTCCGAAATGTAAATCGTCGGATGATGGCTAATAGGAGGGAAACTGTAAATTTTACAATTTCTCTTTTAATAGTTAATAGCAATAACTTCCACCCACAATTCTGGGTTAGATCTACAAATCTAAAAAAAATATTTTTTTCAGAAACAGTTTTCAAATCTGGGCCAAAGCTCAGTTTCACTTACAAAACATTTACGTTAGCTGGACTTCGTAAAGGCTTAGTTTTAATTAATAATAATTAACGTAAATCGAGAGGTAATTTGAGAGGTTGGGAAAACCATCCCCTATTTGGGTCATATTAGGAAGGCGTGCGAGACTCTGTATTGCTGGCATACTCGCTAAAACCTTTTTCTCTTTACGCCATTATTTTAATGATTTCGGGTATTACCTCTTCACGTTGCCATCCTGCTATTACTATCCCTTTGCTCTAGTTCCGCCTGGTTTATTTAAATTTGTTCTCATTCTGGCTTCGGTTTTCCTTGTCTTATAGATTTGCAAGCATGCTCCCACCAAGCTTCCTATTCACCCATGCGGATACGTTTGGGATTAGTTTCTTGGTCCAGGATTCTCTCCTGTTCCATTCGTTCTGCCACTCCTCTATCATCCTGTCCCGTTTCATTTGTGTACCCGACCCTTCGCCCGTATGTGAGCTGGGATCATCATTATGTCTTCTGTTGCCGCGGTCCTGTATCCACTGCTTACCGAAAATAAAATACTGTTTCGTTTTATGGAATATATTTACAATATAGGTACACAACATGGTTAGTACTCTACGAAGGTCGTGGACGGTGGTTGGTAACGGCAAGTCCTTAAGAGTTGGTATCCTGGTGGCGGATGGCTTAACACCTTCGAGATGTCCATTCAAAGGAATGTGAGCGATGGCAATCCAAACTCGCATTTAGTGACTTTGATGGTGATTCCATCTTACGAAATCGTCGAGGTACGCGAACGGGTAAGGTTGATTCTTGGGAACTTGATTGATTTAGCGTTGGGAAGTGTGCGCCCCATTCCTGAGACCAAACGTCACACCTGGATCTCGAATGGTATGACGGTCTTTGTCTTTTACGTCCATCAGCAGATTAAACCGGCGAAGGACGCCTAAACCGATTATGGCGTCGCACAGGATGAACTGCCGAACGAAGTTTCCACGAAGGCCTAGGCCAGGGGACAGCAAATTGGTACCGTAGGTGGTGGTCCCAGCAACAATTTTATACTTTCCGGGTCTTGGCGACGTAACGAACTGGGAACGGGGACGGACACGTCGGCTCCTGTATCTACTAAGAATCAGGTTTTGAATTTATCGTCTTTAACCAGTAGGTGACAAGCTTTTGGTGTTGTCGAAAAATGCCGTGGATGGCGACGAGGAAATTCGTTTTTCGGGTCTTGTACGAACAGGAATCCGTGCAATTTTTCACCCGGACACCAATTAACCGTCGGTGATACCAGCATTCGCCGGGACGTGTAGCGGAGTTGCATCCAGAAGATCGGCGTTTTCCCTGCCACTGACGATCTAGTGTATGGAGGGCGTTGATTTGGAACCGTCAAGTGTTCGACTGTATGTGTATACAGGGTGTTTTTTTGGAAGCTTTAGGTAAACGTTTCTGGGAAAGCAAAATAGGTAGGTTTTTGAAAATGTATACTTAGGGGTTACTCTGAAGGCCGAATCGTTGTAAAATATTTTCAAAATGGCCACACTTCCGGAAACACCCGAAGTAGATACTTAGTAACTTTGTTATTTTAAATGGCAATATATTAAATGATATTAAAGAATCCATTCCTTGATTTGTTTAAAATTATATTGTTATAAAATCATGGCCAACTACTAAAAAGAAAATGCGAGAAAAATGGCATCAATTCCGATATCAATTCAATGAAATGGGAATAAATCAGAAACTGTTAAAGATAGCTATAGGAACATGTAATATCAAAATATGCCATTTTCGATTCTCTATCTTATGCCATAGTAAGAACATGGTCATTCCATTAAAAAAACTGAGTTTTTAGACTTTGAAGTTTCTTAAATTTAGATCTCCATATAGTACAGGAAAATTGTCCAAAATAGACAAGAAAATTGCGAAGTAGTTGAAACTTGGTATTGACGTTTGAAAATACGTATATTTCAAAGAACCCAAGAGTCCCTAACCGCAAGAGGTGTGCTGTAGTGGTCATGCTCAAACAACGTAGGGTGAACTGAATTTTCACTTTTTTAACAGGAAGTGGCAGTGAAATCCTATAAAACTTTGTGACATTTTTAGCGCATTTTTTAAGAATTAAAAAACGTGGTATTGTTTGCGTTTTGTCCGTCCGTCCGTCCGGACCCACTTTTATGGTTTTAAATTACGTCTAGGGAAATGGTGCTAGAGTCCTGGAATAGGTAGCCTATACCTTTAAGATGTGCCAGGCGGCCATCAAATTTCGCTGTTTTATTCCCCCCCCCCCTCCCATTAATTATTTCCTGAGATGCTGTTTTTGATAGTACAACGTGCATAACTTTTACATACGAAAACCAATTTGTTTGAGGTTTTGTATACGCATGCCTTTAGTGGTGCCAAACTATTTTAAACTGGGGGGGGGGGGGGGAGGTAAACACACGCTCACTTTTCATTTTCTAATGAAAGGTCTCATCGACATAAATTGTTGTGTGCAAACTATGACTTTCCGCGCAACTTTTTTTCGAGATCAGGGGGTGACGGGGTCGTAAAGATGTTTGCAAATTTGCTCCATGTATCCAACCGTACAGTTGCACGAAATAAGTTGTAGTACACTTGTACGGATTGTGGTCCTCGCGTAAAGAGTGTTGTAATAGGCTACAATAAGCCGTTGATTTTCTTCCAGCCCCACTGTTCGGTATTTTTGGTACTACGAAGCCGCATATCTGAAATTGGTAGAATACTCGTGAGTAATGCTGAGCAGCGGCCACTCAAGTTAGTGGTAATAATTCGGCCCTGATTTTTGCTTTTGCAGCGATTTTTTAAATTGGTAAAACCTATATGAATTAAAGGAAGATTTCAAATTTTCTTCTCACCGTATACCATCAGAAAAAAGGGGTTCGCCAGCTTCTCTTACTTCTGATAGGGTTGAAATTTTGGTCATTGGTTCTCACTATAGCCAATTGCATTTTGTTTTGCAATAGCTTGAGAAATGGTAATTTTTGCTTCTTAAACATACAATATGTGGTATCACTACTGCAAAAATTTTCTTTTTAGTTTTGCCTTTGTCTGACTTTATCTTTATTTTTTTGGTGTTAACGGCAAGAGAACAAGGGGATCCACATCATCGCCGACTACACGCATCCATTGTTAAACATTTATATTGCGTCATACTTTCATTAAAAACAAACCGATACAATACAACAAAATATCGAAGGATCCTCAGGATTACCATCACTTTTTTAACGACCATTTATTTTTATCTTGGATGATACATATAGTAAAAAAATGCATCAATTCATGTCCTGGGCATTGAGATAATGCTATTATGTTTTTCCAAACGATCTTGGTGCATAAATAACGAGTTTGAAAACTTGGATGGAAATACATATGGCCAAAAAAAGGCATTAAATTCATGTCTTGGCCATTGAGATAATGTTCTTGATCTTTTTCCCAACGATCCCGGTGCAAGAATAACAACTTTGATATGTTTTGAGCAGAACACGTCATAAACAGCAGAATTTTTTTGTCTTCCTTATTTCGCTGGTGCCTTTAAACACTGAAAGTGGATACTTGAAGACTTCCGCGAGATCATCCTAGAACTGAAATTTCACGTAGAATACAAAAATCTAATAAAAAATAGGGGTTGCTATTTAAAATAACGAAGTTACTATCTACTTCCGGCGTTTCCGGAAGTGCGGACATTTTGAAAATATTTTACATCGATTCAGCCTTCAGAGTATCTCCTAAGTACAAATTTTCAAAAACCTACCTATTTTACTTTCCCAGAAAAGTTTAATTAAAGCTCCCAAAAAAAATCCTGTATAGATGTAAGACGGAAAATTGCAGTTTTCCATTCAGGCTGTGATGGTTCCAGAGGTTTCGCTTTCAGTTCGCCGATTTCCGTAATGACGTGTTGGTCGTATACCTCGTGCAGCTTATCGGTCATGGTTACGAGTTGATCCAGGATATCAGAACTGACCGTTAAAATCGCCTGGTGCTGTTGTAGCATCTTCAGTAACAATGACTTGAGAATCGCGTCCCCGATGCGTGGATTTCCTAGGTTACGAAGAATTGGGATGGCTTTGGGTCGTCCCGTTCAACTTCCATTACCAGCTTTTGCAGGCGTCGTTCTTCGCTGCCCATGAAACAGGCCGTCAATCTCTTGTTCAGTGCTGAGTACTTGTTTTCGGCCGGGAGAGAGTCGATAATATCGGAAACTTGCGCGAGGAGGTGTCCTGAGAACTGTTCAGCATCTTGGCGGTTGCAAAATATATCACAGATGTTAATTATACCACCAGTTTTCCCTTACCCTCTTTCTGTTATCTGAACTACCTCTTTAACTTTCGTGCATGTCCGTGCTCCCCGCATACGGTACATCTCTTGGGGTTGGTGCATCCGTCTTTGAAGTGCTCCTCCTGGCCATAGTTTATGCATTTGTTTTTCCTGTTTCCGCGCTGTGCACTTCATGACTCATGACGCTTTTCTTCACTTACACCCTCTTACGTACCCTGCAGCGAGCCACACCCTTTCCAGCTGGTCTATTTTTTTCCTCTAATGATCCGGCATCAACGGGGATCGTTGATCTCTGTTCCTATCTCCTCTACGAATGGCGGCCATCTCGATTTCTTCGCCCTTGACCTCGAGCTCCGCAATCAAGGCTTTCCCAACTTCTCTCTCACTTACCAACTCGTCCAGCTCCCTTACCCTGGGTTCTCCCTTGGCACTATAAGTGGCGCTCCCCATCTCTCCTCGCAAATTTTCGCCTTGTCCACGTCGCTCTTCTTATTGTGGAGGGTAATCTTCAGGTGTCCCTCCCCTCCTCCTTCTTGGCTTTGCCTTCTCCGTCCTTTCATCCTATACGTGAAGGCTCGAGGGTAGCACACACATTCAATCACCTTTCCACACAATACTGAATTGAATTCGGTCACCTTTTCCGTCCCAAGTGCGAGTTCCTTAATTTCTCTTGCAGTATTTTTACAAATCATTCGATCCAGTTTTTCAATATAAGCATTTTGATATCCGTCCCCGCCATTTTCCTCTTGGGGGTGATTGTCTCCCTCGGAAACCGGAGATCACTGAAAGGATTCAGCACTACCGTGGATTGAATCTCCAATCCACAAATATAAACCTGTGTTTTCCAAACTTTCTGTTGGTACTACCAGAAACTCAGCATCCTTAAAAGCCGATTCCCCTTTTTGCCAAACTTCAATATGCGTCTTCGATAACCTAACACTGTGGTTACTTCGGCGAACACCCGCTTATCTTAAAATTAATTAACCTTCACGGAGCAATAACGAACTCCTTATTGCCAAACCGGTTTAGTTAAAAAAAAACCTAATAGTCCAGGGAATAGAGGGTTTTAACTTGCAAAATGAGAAGTAGTTCCAATTTCTTTTGCATGTCATAGACAGTGCTTCCCTTGTGCTTCCCCCGTACCACCCCCAAACCCCCTGAAATTTGGTTGGTTTCTTAATTTTTCATTCATGTCTTTTTAATGGTTCACTTTAGAAAAAAATATTGTTATCAGAAATTGTAGACCGTAAAATTCTACAGAACTTTGATATACACTACTTTTTTGTGAAATGTTTATTAAAAAGGGGGATGGGGGGATGAAGGATTTTTAGGATGAAGCTGAACTGAAGTGAGATAATTTTTTTGTTTCAAACGTATATTAGAAAGCCCTACAATCACACAATGATTCAAATATCCCCACTAGCAAGGGTTGAAAGTTGAATTATTATGCATCCCCTTCGGTAAGGGTGCAGCGTAGGGGGCTTTATACCACGATAAGTTCAAGATATTTTCCCTTAAAACTCTTAATTGTAGAGATAAAGTATAAAATTCGGTTAAAACATGTACATAGAAATTTCAAAATTCTTAAAAATATAAGCAACTTTGAAGCTCTATACCGTTTTTAATAACCATTTCACAAAAAAGTAGTCTGTATCAAAGTTGTGTAGAATTTTATAGTCTACAATTTCTGATAACAATATTTTTTTGTAAAATGAATCTATAAAGAGATATGATTGAAAAACTAAAAAACCAACCAAATTTCTTTGGTTTTAAGGGTGGTACGGGGGAAGAACAAGGGGTGGGAGGTTGGATTCTTAACCACCAGATATTCTTTCATGACATACAAAAAAAATTGGAACTACTTCTCGTTTTGCAGGATATGATCCATTTTCAGTCTCTATTTCCTGGACTATAACGCAATTACTTTCTAATGTCCCTAATTTTTCTTATCGTAATCTAAGTGAACAATAAATCGAGCAAAGTATAAGCAGATTATTTAAACAAAATTAAACATCTAATCATTTTAATAAAAATCAAAATTGACCTAAAATTCAAATGATATCATGGTGATAATGAATGTACATTGTATGTGGACAAACGTACTTTATATGGACGTACATTTTAAGTTCATTTGTTACAATATTGTACCATTCTAGTATTTACACTATGATTGTACTTATATTATACGTGGTCTGTAGTACGTAGGTACGTAAGAAGTAAATAATAGTGGAACAGTAACGTCCGACGAATAGTTTCCCCTACAGGAATGTTCGCTGGCGAATATCCGGGGTTTCTTTGTATTTCTGTAGTCCCCTAGAAAATTTGCCACTGCCGAAGTACTTACTCACCAGGAACATATACCTCTCGCCAGGAAAGATTCCCGGTCACAGAACACTTGATCTACAATCTATGTTTTTCTAAAGACGTGAGCGACTTTCGGAATAGTATCGTGTCAATGTTGAACAAAAAGACTTTTCGTTCAACATTGGAACGATCCTATTCCGGAAGTCGCTTGCATCTTTAGAAAAACATAGATTGTAGATCAACCCAAGGTGTGCTGTGACCGACAATCTTTCCTGGCGAGAGTACAGAGATAGGTACTTTACCATAGAACTATTGACGGTCAGATCAACACGATTCGTATAAATTCGGTCTTGAAAAAACTGATATCCTCTGAAGGTTTTGGTTATATTTGTGGTCACTAGGCCAATTCGCCCAGCCTTGGAATACTCCTTCACAAGGATCTTACCTTCCCAAAAAAAATTCACGTTCATTACAAATCTGTGTAAAAACCAATATGTACCCAATTGAAGAAGTTCCTTCCATGTCTGCAGCCCACAGGTCAATTTTCATCGAGAATTTTCACCTTCGGGGAAAATTCACCACCGCTCAGACATTCGCTCACCAGCATCTTTGTTTGCAGAAGAAAAAATCCTGTTCACTCGATTCAGAAAATTTGCACTTACAGATATTTCCCATTGGAGCAACTGACAAATTCCCAATGCCTGGTACTACCTCACTAGAACCTTACCTTTCTGAAGAAGCGTTGAACATTCAGGACCACTCGATCCAGAAGACCTTAGCATATGTGATATACACCTGGGTAAATTCGCTGCGGGAATTTTTGCATCCAGATTCTGATATACCGGCTATCCAGAAACTTTTTACATGCAAAATTAAAAATCAAGATAATAATATGCAAAGAATTGCTTTGAATGCTCTTAGAATTGGTAATAAATGCTTCTAACTTCAAACTTTTCTAACTTTTCTCAACAATATTCAGGTTCAACTTCAACCAAAAGACTTATTGTAGTCTTCGTCCATTCCAGAAACTCGTTTTAAAGAAATTGTTTAAATAAAAATGATCCAAGTCGGTAGCAGTTAAGTACTAAAAGTCGCCAGTTTGCTTTCATAATTTGAAGAATCATGATTTGTGACTACGACGATGAACCGCAAGATGACGATAGCTCCAGTACGAAACTTCCTGATGCAGAAAAGGAAATTATTGCGGCCAAATTGTTTATGCAACAATGCAGCACGTTAACCGGAGATAACCTGTACAAATCGCTTTAAATGCACCGTCTTCTAATTTGTGCTTTAGGTATGACCACCTCTCGGAAGTCCTTAACAAAATTCTGTCCGAACGTCCGGAAAATGTGATCGATTTTTTTGAAGAATATAGTCGTAAGGTGAAAGAAAAGAGATTTAAGCCGAAAAATGACCATCTGGAGGATATGTTTGTACCTCCAATTCAATACGCGACAGCTTGCAAGATTATACCCTTACTGAAGGTAAAAGTAAGTTTCTCCGCAGTCTAAGTCAGTAAGTTCTAGGAACCGCACGATTTGGACACGGAAGAACAGATGCTAGCGGATATGACAAGGAATGATATGCTACAGCTAAGTTACTTTTTTGAGCAATCTGGCTTAGGTTTGCCCAAAAGTGATATGTTCGCCCTTGTGCTTTCAATGCGTAAGCTGATTAAAACAGAACCCGTTGCTTCCATCAGGTTTTGGGGGAAAGTCCTGGGGCTGTATAAAAATTACTTTGTCCTCGAAGCAGATCTCAAGGAAGAAGAGTGCATTAGGCGAAATGAGGTAACTATACGCAACACTCACGCGCCACAGCTCATCTCTACACGTAGCTTCTGGCCGAACTGGAAACGGAACAGCTAACAGAGACCGGTGCAGGCGGCGACACCACGGCGACCTCGTTGGAAAATCTCGAAAATGAAGAAGAGGGCGAAAGCAAAGGAAGAAAACTGCCTCCAATACCTAAAGCTGTATTTAAACCACTCCCCGAACCCCCACAAGAACCATCAGGTGTTGGCGCAAACAAAAAGGTAAAATCAGTCATCGTGCGCCCCAACCCCTCACAATTACGCCATAGGTATATTACGTGTGTAACGAAATCGGGGACGAATGGGTCCAACTGCCCGACGTAACCCCACGACAAATACGCGTTGCAAGGCAAATACGAAAATCGTTCACGGGATGGCTAAACCAGGACATCGTAACTTACCCAGACTTTCCGGGGAAGGAACGAAATTATTTAAGGGCGCAAATTGCCCGTATATCTGCAGGTTTATTGTATGTATTCCGCGAGTGGGTAGACTAATTGCACATTGCAGGTACGCAAATTTCGCCTTTGGGCTTTTATACGTTTAAACAAGGAGGAGGAGAGGGCGAAGAAGAAGAGGAGGAAGAGGAAGAGGCCGAAGGTGAAGAAACGGAGGGAGGTGGCATGAAAACCAGTTGTTTGGAGAACAGACGATACGAGTCACCCCCTCTCGGAGATTTATTAGATAGCTCCATGTCCTTTTGGGTCCATCATATTCTTTATATTTTACCACAAGGTAGTTCGGTTTTCTTGATCCATTCTTATTTATTGCATTAGGTAGAACCTCGTGGTGGAATCCGAGTCCGAAGCCAGAAGCTGACGAAGAAGAAGCCGTAGAAGAAGAAGAAGCGGAGGAAAAGCCGGTAATCCCCGGACCTGAACCGGAAATAGGCCCTCCACTACTAACACCGCTTTCAGAAGACGCGTCTTTAGACGCAATGCCCCCATGGTCTGTAAGGATATCTTCCAACGTGTTACCCGAATACGCTTTGGTCATTGTAAGATCAAACCTATGGCCCGGAGCTTATTGTTTTACTACACAAGGGAAAATTTTTCAAAACGTCTACATAGGTAATATAAATTAGGAGGGACGATTTAGTGAAATGTTTTAGGTTTTGGACACAAGCATGTTGCTCAAAATTTTACACCGCTACCATTGCCCTTTGTTGAGCAAGATTATCCGATGGGTCCAGAAATTATGGAAATGACAGATCCGACAGGTGCGGAGGAAGAGCAGTGGAGAATCGATCACCTTCCGAAACTTCCACTTGATGCCGAAGGGGAGGAAGAGGGCGAAGTGGAAGAAGAAGAAATAGAAGAAGATGATTAGTCGGTTTTAAGTTTTTTAATTTCTTCTCTGATAGTGTTATAAATACAAATATTGATTTTTAAAGGCGTCTACCGTGATGATTATGTCTTACCGCTCATTGGTTAGTCCATGTATATAGGATACTACCAGGTAATGTGTAAAAAAAGCTTGTTCCTCCAATGCCACATGGATCCAAACGCTTCCTTATGGAACACATTCTGGAAGTTAGGTCTGATCCCGCAACTTGACTGTCGACTATCATAACCGGGAGGCGAGACGAGATCTCAACATATCTCCTTATCGCTTTGTTTTTTTTCTGTTTTTCATTCGATTAGATATACCAAGTTTGTCCCGTGGAGGGCGGGAAAGAATAATCCTACTGTTGGAAGGAGAATCTAAGATTTATTGATGAGACGAGTGAGTGACATTTGGCATTTTTTACCGACGACTGTTACTGTAACACTAGGAAGAGTCTGAAAACCCTTTGGACCTTCGAACCTTGTAGCTCTTTACGGATCCTGTCTCAAGTGCATTTTAGAGACTTTTTGTTCTTCCTAGATCTTTCGAGACCCTTCTGAACACTTTCCACAGATATTCGCGTCTATCCAAAGGCTGCAGGAAGACCGCGCTGAAGAAGAAGTTCATAAAGTTCCGACGTGCTTAAAAACGCCCTCAAAGGTGTGTATAAATAAATTTAATAAGAACCTGAACAGTTCTGGACAGGACCCTTAAATTTTTAATGCCAGGAAATCTTTCTAAAATCTTTTGATTTTAAATTGGTTTGATCTAAACTTAAGCGGAGCATTTCAACCCTATCTTTGCTTAAACGTTTAGAACATTCTGTATCAAGATAATACAGTCTAAGACACCCCATAAGGTCAACCTTCGCCGTTCTGTTTACCGAGTGAAATACATTTTTAAGCAATCTTAATATTTAAAAAAACACTTTGCATATGGATTGTTTAAAAAAAAGTAGGCCAAGACTACCCTTAATTAAAATTAATGTAATTAACATTTCTGTCTGCTTGTCTTAGGTGTTTCTTCCTGATTTCAAATTTAAGTGGGAATTTTTGAAAGACTCCGGAATCTTTTAGCACTTTATAAAAAATATAACATGCGCTTCAGACACACTATACAGTGGTATTTATTAAGCAGTAGACATATGAATTTACGTGTATTGCTTTTACCTATGTCTACTTTTAAATTACAAAATCTCTTCTACCTAATTTTTAAACACAAAAACTTTAAGACCGTTTACCACACGTTCGAGGTATTTCGGGACTCTAAGGCAATAACTACCCCTAAAAGTATGTTGGGTGTTTCTCGACGTATTTTGAGGTGAGTGACCTCAAAATTTCCAGTTACTTAAATTGATTTAAAAATATTTAATTTTCCGATTGACGTATTGGTGACTAAAGATAAGGAGATCGCGCCGACCTTCTACCTGTTATCGTTTATTTTTCGCGCAGTAGTTTGTGAAAGTTTAAACGGTGCGGTGTAAGTAGCGTAAATGGGGTGAATGGTAATGGTCCTTCCCTTAGACAGATTGCACTAATAATGCTAAGGGGTGAGTTTTTATTTTTTTTTAAATCAAAATGCATGTAAACTGACGAACCTCAAAATGTGAATTATCCAAAATTATGGTACCTATTTCACATAAAAGTTCTTTTTGGAGAATGATTTTTAGGTATAGGTAAGTACCATTTTTTAGACAGTAAACGCTATAATGGTACCATTTTTGTTAAATGCAAAAGCAGTACGTGTCGTAATTAGGTGCCTTATTTAAAAATTTAAATCACTTGCTGAGGACATTAAACTACGGTCCTTTATGATTGCATATTTTCTGATTTTCACTTTTACCATAGACTTAAATAATGATTGCCGAAATGTATGTGCGCGCATCATTTCAAAACAACTGCACCAAATTAGATAATTCTTTTTTTGTTGTGAAGACAGTGGCGTATTTACGCCGATATATCCCCCCCCCCCCCCCAGAAGAATTGATCGACCGGAAAAAAATATTTTCTTATAGAATGTGGCCTGTAGAATCCATAATTCCAAACAGTTCCAAGATCGGACTACTAGATCAAAAGTTACAGCCCTTTGAATTTTTTGTCGAAATTGGTTTTTTAATCTTTAATCTTTATTTAAATGTTCTAGCTATCATAGTATATAAACTATATCAGTGTAGTCAACTTACTATAAACTAGTGCATCTACTAACTGAGCAATTTATACATATAAATAACATAAAAAAAGGTCAAGTTAAAATACTGTAAAACACTTAAGTAAAATAGACAAAATATCACATTAGAACACCAATCAGTTAGTAGGAACTCATCAAATGTGTAAAAAGCGTTATTCTTAAGGTAACTAATCACAGCATTTCTTAATTTACTCATAGGCAGTGTTTTTAAATTTTGGCCAAAAATATACCTATTATTCAAAGTTTTCGTTGACTAATTAAAGAATAAAGGGGCATGTCAGCAGTAAGAAATAAAATATCGTTCTAATCTAATCTTTTTCGCCTGTGCAACCCAATTTCTATTTCTTACCCCCCCCCCCCCCCCCCCCTCTTCTAGTACGCACTGGGTGACTGTGTATGTGCCACGAACTGGTTTAATCTCCCCCAGAATAAATTTCTACGTACGCCACTGTGTGAAGGAAAAGGTTTGTATGAAAGATAATTTCCAAAAAATTGTACGGAAAGACGTAAAAAACAATGTTTCTCTTTTCCGTTATTTTAAATCGCAATATAACTAATAGATGGCGCCATTACTATGAATGACGTAAGAATGACGACAAAGTCACTGTGAAATGACGTAAAAATCCATTTTTCTCTCTTCCGTCATTTTAAATCGGAATACAAGTAATAGATCTGGCAACTTCCGCCATTTTTGGGCAAAAATCATGCGTTTTCTCTCTAACACACGAGCCCAATGGATTACGGTACTTTCTATATTTAGTGACTTTAATCTACTAGGCATCTAGTAGGTATTAATATATCCTACTACGGCCCTAGAAAAATCCAAATCGTCGACTTTGGGCGAGAGGCGATAAACTAGACTGTCAAACGTATCAATTACGTATGCCCGTGGCGGTTTCTGATGTAGTAAAACACTTTTCGTAAAAACAGGACAAAAAAAAGGACTTTATGTTTTACAGTGGAAAAGAGACTTGACATTTCGAGCGTAGGTTTCTTTGAATGCGTTATGGTGTACTCTGAAAGATACTTCCCGAAGTTTACACTGGAACGGAGAAAACTGAAACGGGGTATCGGGAAAAACGGAATTTCCCAACCGCGGTACGAATTTCGTCGGGACTGCTATTAATTTTTATAATTTTTTATAATTCAAAAAAGCAAAAATCCCTACCTATCACAATTTCACTCTGTGGGTTTTATAGTTGCAAAATCTGATACAACTTGATCAAGAAACGTTTCTCTTTAGTACTTAAGGATCGCCCATTCGTCTTTGCTGTAAATACAAGAAACAGCGTGTAAAGGGAATTTAGAAAAGCAACAGAGCGTTGCGATCCTACTCGGGGTCATTCGATTTGATCCATTTTCAATAGGTTTGTTACAGGTCAACTGTGGAAAGTTTAAACCGGATCGGTCCAAAAGTGTTTTGGCAGTTCAGTGACAGACAGACCGACCTATAAAACTGGAATCACTTTGCTCTGCCGCTTAGTCATCAATGATACATCAAAAGACGTGTGGATGTGTGTCGTTTGACAAATATGGGGCACACATTGATCATTTGTAATTTAGTGAGTAAACTTTTGGAGACCCCATGAATCATTTATATAGTAACCCTGCATTTTATAGAATTATTATGTATTGATAAAATTTATTTATATAGGTCCTGGCATCAATTTTTTATAAGCAACACAACTGCAAATCGCTGATTTTGAAATTGCTTCTTCTACGTATTATGCTATAAGTACTAGATACTGGTACCACATAAAAAATTTCATTTTTGCTATAAATAGATTTATTCTTTCAAGGTACGTGAAAGTCAATATTTTGTGATGGCTGTGTACATAATGATTAGTTAATCTTGGCAACGTTGCAATATTTGACTTTGACAGTTCGCTGGGATGTCAGCTGTTTATCTTTTAAATGACCAAAAATTTCCTTTTTTCGATGAGTAATGTTTGGGTTCCTTTTAGATTTTTTCACAAATTCGGAGTATACTGACATTCTCCTCACGTACTGGAATAACCTCGTTTCCTACTTGAGTGATTCCTTAAATTTAATATCCGAAAGTCAAAGTGTCCTGACAATTTTTGATAGTTTTCAGTTACAGTCCTTGTATTTTGATCAATTTCAACGCAAACTTCTGAAAGGGTTCTGCATCGCTTTAATCATTAACATTATCCTAATTGGCATCGCTTGGAAAATATTCGGGAAGGGGATTTGTGAACGTTTTATGAAACCAGGCAAGTTAGATTATACACACGTAGCATTCTCATTGTATTCTTTCAGCTACATCAAAAGCAATCGACGAGCTAAAAGCGAGCGTGTCCAAGCTTAAACTTCCTAAGGAGCACACCCCCCGAATTTAAAATAATGGCGGAAAAAATTAAGAAATTCTTTGCTAAGAAAAAAGCCGACGCAAAATTTAAGTTAGCAGGTCCCGGAAGGCGACTGGATGTTTCTAGTGATTCGTCCTCTAGTTCAGTTGCACCGAGCAGACCTGCTGCGTCGAGAGGAGCGCCTACCGAGGCGACAATACACGCGGCGATTGCCGCCGAGGCACGCCTGGGTAGTCAAAGGAAAGACACTAATTTTAACACATCGTTTGGCGCGATCCAAGCTCAAGTACGCAGAGAGTTGCAGGCCGGGCTCAAGAACGAAGACCCAAAGCATTCGCCTCCATCCCAGAGACATTCGATGGAGCGAGAGGTGGAATTAGAAGCTTCGCCCACTTTAGCGGTGAGAGGTATTAATCATGCTTTACTAAGATAAAGGTTACATTAAGTAGTTTAAGGAGTCTACTATCGTTGCCCGTTCGTCAGTAACGAAATTTTACCCAAAGATGAATGGAAAAGTAAGCTTGCAGAGTTTCTCTTTGAACAATTAGAAGCGGAACGATGTCTAACCGCTTGTTTAATAATACATTCCTGTAATTACAATAGGACCAAAGTAAGTGAAGGTATCGCGCCGATTAGGTAATATTTTAAATTTATGCCGACAGATCAGTGATGGTGTGGAAGTTCTTTGTAAGTATTTAGACAATATAATCGCCAATCCAGACGAACCAAAATTTCACAAAATACGCTGCTCGAATGCCACATTCAAAGAGAAAGTTTTACCTTTGGTCGGCAGTACGGAACTGCTGTATGCTGCCGGATTTCGGCAACAGAGTTTGGAGCACAACGGGGTAATGGAGGAGTTTTGGGTGTTTGAAAAGGATAATATTGAAGAAATGAAGACTCTTCTAGTAAGTTTTATGGTAGAAATAGACGTACTAAAGCGTTAAAAATCAATAGATGAGTCAGGGTGCTATTTCTTTGTCTATTTTGATTATATTATCCTCGAATGAACTTTCCTTTACCCCCCCAAAGGGAATTTTGAGATGTAATGTTTGTTATTTATTGTGCTCGAAAATAAATACCACAAGTATTCTATTACAACAAGAATTAAATATGATCACTAATACTATGTAATAAAGAATGAATTTGATCCCTGTTGAAATTGTATGGTTTGACCACATAGTATTACATTTCATGTAATGTGGAATTTTTGGTTAATCTTTCTATTACTTGCACAATCGACTTATATATTGTCACAAGTTTGTTTTAATGAGTAGGTATTGTGGTGCTACAAATTTACAACGGCTTGCCTTATTTGCACAGATACAACGTCAAGGGCGTTCAAAAGGGGTCTTGACAATTTTTGATTTTACGCACCCAATTTACTATACAGGGTGAGTTTTTTTCACTTCCACTATAGACATCTAAACCCTAAGAGATGTCCATTAAGGCTGATCTCACAGTCGGACGAAGTTTCTCAGGGGAATGAGGAGTGCATAATATGGTTTATATGTGGGCTGTCCTTATGCACTCGTAAGCAACACGACACGCCGCGGTTCTGTTCGATCATGCATCTTGAGTTTAAATTTTCATGGGCAGAGACGGCTTCAGGACACCTATAAAACGCACAATCCCATTCAACAAAATCTAGTACGTTTAATTGTAGATGGGTGGAACATTGTGGGTTTGTTTATTAAGGCACATATTTAAAATTCATTATCGTGGCATGTTGACAACCTAACAATATTTTTACCGAATTTGCAGTTGTTATACAGTTTGATTTATATCAAGTTGCATTTTTAAAATTGAATCCGCTGTATATTATTACATATATCAATTCCTTGGTCAATTTTAATATTATACATGATATCTAAAATTAGTCGTTTACCCGCAATTCGTCATTTTTTAAAAAGTAGATGTCCAGTAAAAAGTGAATAGTTATCACAATTATCATAAAACTTTTAAGTCCGTGACTTTGCAGTGTTAGTAATCATAAATGTACTAACGGTCAAAGTGACACCTTTTTTGTGTTAAAAATCACTTTTCCAAATTTGAATCACAAGCTATCTTGATTTTGTTAAATGGAACTACCAAGTTTTTTTTCATTGCATCAAATGTAGGATTTGATTTGTCAGTTTGGTTCATTAGTATTGTTGATTAGTTAAGTTTATTAGAAAAATGGAATTTGAAAAAAGTGATTTAAACGGTGCTTTTTACTTGTTGACTATAAATATTTAAGTACTTTGTGATGGTCTTCAAAATGTTTCGGTGCACATAATAAAAGAAATGTGGTTTCACCACGATGGTGATTCACCTCATTTTGCCTAAACGTTAAAGAATAACTAAATCAATAATATTCTGCGAGGTGGATACTTTGAGGGGGTTGAAGTGGTTTCTGAGTCTCTTTTGTTTTGTTTTGTTTGCAGGGAAATATTTTATAATTTGAATTGGTGTTCATAATTTTTAACGGCCTACTAATTACTGAGAGTTTTTTAAAATTGAAACACTATGAATTTTATTAGAAATGATTGAATTACAAAAAATATATAAAAGGTAGGTAAATACCGACATGCTTATATCGTTGGAAAGGTAATCAAATCCTACAATTGATGCAATAAAAAAAAGTAGTTGTTCTATTAACAAAAATCAAGTTACCTTTGATTGAAATTTGAACATTGGCGATTTCATTTAACACAGAAAAATTTAACATTGACCGTTCGGCGAATGGTAGTACATTTCATGCAGTTGCAGTCCCGACCTTTTAATTGCATTGTTACTTCACATCTACTTTTTCAAAAAATCACCAACTGCGGCTAAACGACGCATTTTGGATATCATGCATAATACATACAAATTGACCAAGGAATCAAAATCTGCAACTATTTTAAAAAAATGCAACTTTGATATAAATCAAAGTGTATAACAATAGCAAATTCGGTGAAAATATTTTTAGGCTGTAGCCGCGTTGATAAACCCACAATCTTCCACCTACGCACTAATGCCCCACCCTGTATGCAAATTTCAAGCAACTTTTGTTTAAAATAATATACAAGAACGTTGGTATGTTTAAACGTCTTTGGATATTACCTTGCAAACCTTTTTTCATTTTATCTTTCCGAATAAATTGACGGACATGTCTATTTCATCTCAAAATATTATACTGAAATTAATGCGCACCAACATCAATAACTTGACTTTTCGGAATAACTGATACAAGAATTTACGCATTCTTTCGAAGTATGAGCATTATCTTTCTTCTACAGTAAATGAAGGCTACATTATAAATGTGGGTCCGTTAGCCCCTCACCCCCACCATTAGCCCAAAAATCAACCATTTTTTTCTGTCTACTGTGGTCCATTTGTGCTCTATTGGGTATTTATGTCGCTTTTTTTGGGTTTAGAAATAATTCGAAAATTAATGGGGGCGAGGTGAACGTCCCCAAAAATACTAAACTTTATTATACTCAAAACTCGTTAGATAAGACTAGAGCCTTCGGAGTACTGCATTAGCTTCGTTCTATCGAGTTATTCCTGTATCGCTTACTTTGAAAACTAAAGGTGATGCCGAAGCTGATAATTATATTTCTATCAAAAGTATTTGAATACTTCACTCAAATAATTGAAAAATTAAAAAGATTATCCATCATCATCATGATCACTTGATGTCATTTTGGGTGATTTAGTAGCCTATTACGGTGTTAGTTTTATCATATCGTGGTGCAGAGGCTTTAAACAATATGGGGTATCATCACATCTCGAAATTCGATACAGTTGAATACCGAATGATCTTTGAGATGTCCACGCATCCACTATTTTTACAACTTCGTAACTGAAACACAATAGCGACTTTTCTTATACCCTTAAGAACATGTGTACCAATTTTTAAAGCGATCTGACGTTTCTAAACGAAGTTATTATGCACATTCACAGATAGACACGGTAATACGTAATTATAAACTATCTTGACGAATGTTAAACAACATATGAAGTATCGCATACGATCTTTAGTGGGGGAATTTTTTGACACTCAGCTCGCATTTAATATTTTTTGTCTTTGTTATATAGTGTATTTTTAAATTTATTGTTATTCTATTCATATATTTAAATTTCTCTTTTTGTTACTTGCTTGCTTATTTGTTATATGGATTTTGTCCGTTAATTGGATACTCATCTGTTGGGCAAAATATACATTATTACATATTATCACATTTGGAAATAAGACTTTTAATTCAGCTCATATTCAATAGCATTGATCTTTGAACTCTTAGAAATAGATTGGTGAAGGTTTGACATCCCTCTCTTTCCATTCTCCAATTAGACGAGGGACAGACAGACAGACGGGCGAACAAAACCATCACATAAGGGGAATTTCTGTCGAATAATATTTAAATCCTTCTGATAGTATTTAAATACTTTCCATTGAATACTTAAAAAAATATTTAAATAGTTCTCAAAGTATTTGAATAACTTGAAAAGTAGTTGAATTGTTGGTGAAGTATTAGAATACTTTGCGAAATATGCGAATTGTTTGCAAAGTATTTGAACACTAAAAAATATTTGTTAAAGTATTTTGCTTGAGAATACAAATACTGCTTCCATAAAAGTACCTATTTAATTACAAAGTATTTGAATATGCACTCGAAAGTAATTGAATACTACACAGTATTTACAACGTAGAATACTGCCCAGCTCTGATTGTATCTTACAATTTTCATTCTATATGAGAATGACAAATGTTTTTTTATGTACCTACTGGTACCTACCTTTCAATTGGAGTCGGACCATTTTAGTTTTTATTTTTTATTTGCTACCGTATGTAGCTTCAGCTGCATTTGTGAAGATGATTTGATAGACAGGAAACTCAACTAAAATTACTATTAATACTTTAGTCAATCGCTTGTGGGACTGGTTTATTACTTTTACTTATGTTTATAATGACAGCTTAAAAATATTTTTGTTGCATAGCGTGGAATTTGAGAATTGCAGCCATTTAAAAAAGTTGCTTCTTTAGAAGTTATAAAATGGGTAAGCTAAACTAACTGCTATTTATTTCTATTTTTAATTCAATTTTATCGGCACTATCCAGACTATCCTTGCCTGGAGTGAAGTGTTCTCAATTTGCACTTAAATCATTAAATGAAGACATTTTGAACTAAAATTGTTAATCCTTTTGCAAGTAGTCTCTGATTTAGAATTGATAGACGAAATATTCCTTCCCAGAAAATGATCTTAATACGTCCAGTTTAGTTTCAAAACTCGGATTGCGTGGCGCTACACAACAACAAGTAAAATTCATACAATCCATACACGTTAGACGTTTCGTGGAAAGATTGTCACGGCCGTATTTCTTTACAGATCCTTTCAATTTTTTTTGTTGAAAAGACGAAGGATAATTCTATGTTTCTATAGTAACACTTTTTCGGTTATTTATTTCCATAATGCAAAATTCTACGTATGAAAAGTGACACTTCTTGGCTATATTTAACACGATATTTCACTTGATATTGCAATAAATTTGAAAAATGTGTTACTATAGAAAAATCGCAAATTTCCTTGCGAAGAGATCGGTGTATCATTTAGCACTAAGTGATTGAAACTAAAGTCTGGGGAATTTTTCTATGAAACCTCTGCAAACGCTCATAAATGGACTGTGTGAGATCCCCCTTAACCTAGCAAGCAAGGTCAGCAGAACACAATCAAACATATTGCATAAATAGGTGCTAATTAAGTGCCCTATTCCCGAATTAAATGCTCCTTTTTTTTTCAAATTATTGCATGTTCTGCCAGGTTCATATGAACTCAGCAGAGTACTACCTTAAAAACCCAAGAAAATGAAACTATAATTAGGTGCTAATTATATGCTAATTAAATGTCCTATTCCCGAATTAAATGCTCCTTTTTTTTTAAATTATGAGTTTGGCAGAACATGTAATAATTTAAAAAAAAAGAAGTATTTAATTCGGGAATGGGGCACTTAATTAGCACCTAATTATGCAATATGTTTGATTGTGTTCTGCTGACCTTGCTCTGCTCTGCTCTGCTAAATGGGCAAGTTACGCAGAATTTTATGCTGATTAATTATCTTATTCATAATATTTTGTAGCTTCACAAATAGCGAAGTTATGAGCACAAAACAGAAAAATGTTATTTTCGACAATGCGCTGGCGTTCATTTATTTTCGAAAATAAAAAATACTTTTAACAAACTCTTGTTGATTTTTTCTTGTCTTTCTGATGGTACTAAAATAAAATTTTTGTGACTTGTGGGTTTCGAGTAAATCACATCAACTTTCTTATTTCTTATGGACGGAGTATTAGATTTTGTGCGAAAAAAATTACAAAATCGGCGATACCAAATACTACTAGTATTTTATTCGGAAATTAATTTTGAATTTTTGCTTTGTAGTTTACAATGTACTTCTTATGGCAATAATTCCATGGCCGATTGTGATTGAAACCAATTTCATTCGTTTATTGTCTAGCATAGTTGGCGTCAACACGGCCATGGAATTAATGCCATAAGAAATGCAAAACTCAACATTAATTTCCAAATAAAATACTTAAGTATTTGGTATCGCCGATTTAGTATTTTTTTCTCTATTTTACTCGAAACCCACAGGTCATAAAAACTTTACTGTAGTACCGTCAGAAGTCTGAGAAAAATCACCCAAGACTATTTTTTTATATCTATGAAAATAAATGAACGTCAGCGCATTTTCCAAACTTACATTTTTGGTTTTTTTGCCATAACTTTGCTAATTGTAATTATAAGAAACTATGATATGATAATTAATCAGCAAAAAATGTTGCATAACTTTGCCCATTTAACCGACTTTGTATCTTGTGCAATTCACGAGATCCCTATAGTGGAAATAAAAAAACACCCTGTATAATGTAATTTTCTGAGAACATCTATGAAATTTAAAAAAAAAGTTACTCTTGGAGCCTTTAAGTCCCTATGAACTGCCACCTGTACGGTTTTCGTTCAGATAGTTTGGTTTTTTTAAGTTTTGTTCAGAGTCCCGTCGCGCAATGATAATGTCTGGGAATATCTGGATAATTCGTGGCGTCGACCTTTTTATATATCTATATAAATAAAATGAATCGCCGAAACTTCAACTGCATCAAATTAGATTCTTTTTTTTTGTGTTTGTTATTATCAAGAGTGTGGAGAAGGTTTGTATAAAAGATAATTTCCAGAAAATTGTACCGAAATTCGTAAAAATACTGGTAGTATATCAAGAAACAAGTCTTTAAAGTACGCGCAACGCGGAGTGCCTTTAAACATTGCAAGTGCTTTAAAGACCAATTATTTATACACACATTTCCATACCAACTACTCGAATACTAAAGGGGATAGTTTCCCTCAAAAAAGCCAGTAAAGTTCATTTGAAATAGAGGACGGTTGGCAACTATCCGGATAGGTGGGACAGCTAGTCTATGCTCATAATAAAATAAAAGTAATAAACAGTGTAATGACTGGTCACCTTCTAGGTTTTATACTGTATTCATTTTAAGAAGGTAGCGGTAGAAAGCATAGGGAAGCTTTGACCTTCACTGTGATTGGTTAAAACACAAGTCTGTATTACAATGAAACATAAAACGATTGGTGAATTTTGTAAGGTAGTAGTTTATGTTGCCAACTAAACTGTCGAAGTGTCATTAGTTGGTATTGTCAAAGTGCTGAATATTTCTACTTGACAATAATTTGGTGCCGTTTTATATTTTTCTAAAGTCACTAGATCAACGCAATCATCCGCCATTTTTGGGCAAATTTGCTGCCAACTTAAAAAAATTGACAAATAAAATCTGAATAGCTGTAATTTTTTATAACCTAACTTCATAGTACTGTCATGTTTTATACAAATATATACAGATATCTCCAAACAGGTGGAACAATCCCTAACATTAAAGTTACTAGAATCTTGTAACTTCCGCCATTTTTGGGCAAAAATCATGCGGTACTTTCTATATTTAGTGACTTTATATTTTTCAATCAAACACAGCGCCATCTACTACCTTCTTATAATGAATGCAGTATAGACTTGTTAATTTGTCCGCTCAAAATCCATTGAAAGATGTTTTCTGTTTCAGGATCTAAGAGAAACATTAAAAGAAGAAGCTCGAATTGACATTGAACTTGATCGTAACGCTCAGGTCCTATTCGCCGCCCAGGCGTCCGCAAGATATAATTTGCCTCCGGACTTTTTCCAATTGTCACCCGAGGAGCTTAAAAAAGAACAACAGTCGAAGTATTACCCGCCCCCGTTCATTGAAAATCGTAATTCATGCATGTTTGTAGAACTGAAATGATGGAAAAACAGATGCAACTTAGAACGAAGGTGATGCGAGAAAGAGAGGAGCAGCGCGAGCTCAGAAGATACAAATACGCGCTTATTAGGGTAAGGTTTCCCGATGATTGCTTTCTGCAGGTAGGTGTGGCGCTCGGTTTTGTCAATTTAAATTTATTGTTGTGCGTCAGGGCACGTTCTCGGTGTATGAGAAATTTTCTGCAGTGGTGGAATTCGTACAAGAGCACCTAAATGAAAGTGCGCCGTTCATTTTGTATTCGACTACAGGTCACAAATTGGAAGAAACTGATTACGATAGCACTTTACTTGCTTTAAAGCTGGTTCCTGCTACAGTCCTTATATTTGGATGGGATACAGATTCTGCAGATGAAACCAATCAGTATAATACGTACCTCAAGCCTGAAACGATGATACTAGCACAGCCGCTCTAATTCATCTAAATGTTTACAGATTTTAATAAAGCTTAGCACGTTTAATTTAATTGTATGTTATAATTCTACATTATATTATATTTGAAAGCTTAAATGCAAATGTTATGTTACCATATGGTTGTTCTTCTTTCAATATTTGCAGCATTAAGGTACGTCTCCTATGAAGCGTCTGACGCGGCCTCAATAGAAAGCATGTTCTAACCTGCATGCGGCGGTCGTCTCCAGTTGCATGCCTAAACCTACACCGCGTCAGACGCTTCATGGGAAACATACCTTTAGGTATTTCAGTTTATCAGAATCAAGGCTGTAGGCAAAGGATCATCGTGGAGTTCAATCTTATTCCAAAACAACTGAAAATAATTCCCAAAATGTACCACATTTTTTTCCCTTCAAAAATAATGAAAACGAAATTTTTTCGCGGATATCTCAGGTATTTTCAATGATTTTCCAAAAATTTTAAAAGCCTTTTTTAATCATAAAAATGAGCAACTTTGCCCCCTTTAACCTTCACTGCATCTAACACCGTTGCGGAGATCCCAATGGTGACTCACGAATTTGAACCACCCTGTATAAGAAGAAAATTTAATTTTTAAACGATTTTTTAAAAAAAAATTGACTTTCAATGCGTTGTATCAACCAATTTTTACTTTAATTTCTACTTTTGTTATTGGGACGAGCTGCGACCAGTGGTGCAGCCAAAAATATTTCAGTGAGTGGACCAACCTGGGACTAACATTTTTTAGACTAGACTGATGTATAGGAGGAGATAAGTATTAAAAAATCCAGTTACAAATTCGAAAATTTATTTATTTCAGATTATTAATCAATTAAAGCGCTTTACATACCTAAATGGCAACATTATTTGAATTATACCGCCAGTATAGATAAGTAACATAGATTCGAGCCCAGTTTGACCGTGAGTTCTGCTCATGTGCCAACTCCAAGGTCATTTGAACTACTGCACATGCATCAAGTGGGTGTAACTGAAGCTCAATGTGGTTTTTGTCTAAACTCACTTTAGGTGCGTCAGAAGAGCTATCTGCGAATCTAATGCAAAAAAATACATCCCGATCTTAATTTTTTTATATATCGACGTTCGATAGAAGACGAATAAGAGCGTATAGTGTAGAACATCAGCCACTTACGACCTACGGTTCCTTAGAAAAGTAACTGCATCTTTTGTTGTAGGTAAAGCTGTTTTGCAACAGAAAGTGCCAGAACGTGGTTCAAATTTTACACTATGTGCTCTAATGCTTCCTCAAAAGACCGCAAGTTGATATCTCAACAAATAAAGGGAGTTGCGAATTTTTTATTGGGATCGAGTAGAATTTTTGACTATTTTCGATTCTTAAATGCCCGAAATGGTTCTGCAGCTTAAAACCGACTTCATTTTAGACCATTTTCCAACGAAGTTGGGTGCGCTATTATACAGCCACTTTTTCTGTCTGTCCATCTGTCCGAGTTTCTCACTACTTCTACAGTTTTCAATATGTTTAGTTTGTTCTTTTTGAATTCGGTAGCTTAGCTCTGGCACCTGGGCCAAGAAAAATCTATTATCTGTTCACCCAACAGATGCAGTTAAGCTCCTCCCAAAAATTTCCCGCCAAATTTAAATGAACATTTTTAATTGGCCGAATTTTCAAAACCTATAACAGGCAACTATTTGCTTCCAATTATAATTGCCGTATCTGAATTGACATCCTTAACGTCAAACCTGTCATTAAGTTTTGTATTTGTCTTGAGCCTCAATGTCATTTATACGAACAAAATAATCTTTTTGAACGTAATAAACAATTTAAAACTATACTACTGTGTGTTGAAAGGTCAATATTCAAAATATAACACTTTTTATTTTAAATTTCCCGGTTTTTATAATTTTGTGGCTGTGAAACGGGTTTGCTATTACATTGGCCAAAATTTATTGGGAGTGGCTTAACTGTATCTGTTGGGTGAACAGATTATAGTCAAGGCTAACTGATGGCATATAGTAAAAATCAGATGTGCGCATGCGCAAACATTCTTATTGAGATATTTCTTTTGAAATTTTAACCAAAGATGCTTTTAGTAAAGAAAAACATAGCCATAGCCTTTTAGAAATACATACTGATAAATGGGCTAAAGTGAAAACCTTTTTACTTTGTTTTTATTTATAATTATGGATGAGAAAAGGAACTAAATTCAATTAAAAAAATGGGATTTAATGTAAACAAAGTGATGATTTCCGAAATAATCGCAAATGCTCTGACATTAAAATAATTTAGTTCAAGGGAACAATCTCATGTAAAATTGGAAGTGAATAACGTAGATAGATAGTTTGCTCCACCAAGTTCTTGTGAATCACTCAGAATAATGGGAGATTACAAAGTAATGTAGGAAAAACCAATTCACTGATTTAGTTTAGAGGAAATATTTTAAAGAAGGAAATTTAAAACAAAGTTTTAACCGACATTTATTAACCTTCGTTCTCTTATCATGGTAGATAACATGACATGTACAGTATATGTCACAATTGCTTCAACCGAGATAACATATTACAAAAACACCTTCGCAATACATGGTTTAAAAAAAGTTAAAAGCAATCATTCTATAAATATTTACAATCAATCAATAAATTATTCACATACATCCAACTATTTTAATTATTTCTATCAGATGGGGGTATTAAAACAAATACTAATATCATTGTAAAATATTGCTATAATTAATGGGTGCTCTTAATTAAAATAAATACAAGTAATTACTGTACTGTAAAGTTAAAATACATTCGTTTATAGAATAGATAACAAAATTTTCAAAAATTTTATAAGCGTCGAATCAGTCTTTTGTTTCAGAATCAGTATTCGCAACTTTTTCAGTATTTTCATCAGTAGTACCAACTTTTTCAATATTTTCATGAACCGTTTGGTCCTTTGCATGATCTTCCTCGACAACTTTCTCCTCTACACCTTCGCCTTTGCTTTCTGACGAATCCTCGACTTCCTGCGCCGATTTAATGACCACAACGCCGTCGTCGGAGTCGCTGCTGTCCGGTGGAGAATTCTTTTCGGAGTCCGAGTCCGACTCCGGTGCGGATTGTAGTACATATTCGAATTTTGGTGCAACCGGTCGTTTTTTCACCGCCGGATTAAAGGTGTAACAGTAACAGCAACGGAACGACATATACTCGGCTTCGTCTCGGTATGCCATTCCTAAGTTGAAATAGAATTCCGTTAAATTTAAATCTACCATGATTGATTCATATTTGTCTCTTGGCAAAACACCAATGATAGATAGTCTCCTGAAATGTATTGACCAATTGCTTTAATTTACAATAGGCGCCAAATTTAAAGAAAACCTATCAAAGTGCCACATTGACATGGGTTGGCTGAAACCCCGCCCAAATAAATTTAAAAAAAGGAGGTATATAAACAATTTCTTTGTGCCCACCCTGGCCATATCTAAAACAGCTACTTAATAGATGAATCAAAGCATACAGGGTGTTCCCGAGTGGCGATTGTGTGGGTGCTTCCCTATTTTTGAAAATTTTGAGACTCAATGATTACTGAAACTACCTTCAACAGTTACCCTTACCATTATGACCGTAACAATTATTGCAAATTAAGGCGTATCGATTCGATGGTCCATCACCGACTAAATAATCGACCATCCTATCAAACGTAGATCTTTCCCTTGGTAAGATGGTCCTTGGCATTGGTAACATTGGTGGTGCTTGTCCCGAGGGTGCTCGTGTTGTTACCGCCGTCAAAGGCTGTGAAACGGGAATTGGCCGTATCGGTGTAGGTAAAACTTGTGGTTTGGGGGAAATGGCACGTTGGCGTAAACCGGCGTTAACGGCTGTAGACGGTACGGGCGGTTTCACGTGTCGTGCAGGCGTCCCCGCCTCTGGAAGCTTACGGATCGGTTCCGGAGGTGCGAATTTATCCAAAATACTTTTAGCCACCTTGTACGTTTCTGTATCCATCACCTTCTCCAAAATGGCTTTTTTCTCATTACGTAAGTTCACTACTTTATTCTGCTTTCGGGAAATTTTCCTCTGGTAGTACCACGTTAACGTTTGCTTCACTAGTAAGATTAAAACGGGCGCGAATAGGAGCGGTATTATGTAAAATAGTCGATCGTAAATGTTTGCGGGAAAGCAATAGAAGTAAAAGAGAAATGCCGTAATCACGTAAAGTGCTACTGCTAGCATCACGAACCGGCCGACGATTCGTTTACGAATCAATTCGGTGTTCCTTTGAAATTCTTCTATGGATTTAATTTCGGTTTCGATGGATTCGAGAACCTCATACGTAGTCTTCTTTTTCTTAAAATAGAAGGCAATAATGTTTGTTGCGAATCGGGGAGAACTTACCCTAAACTTCGATGCGATAGCTCCCATTTTCAGCTACGTGCAATGCTAAAGTGACAAGAATATCAGAAGATAAGCCGCTAGTAGAAATTTAACTTTCACAACATAACCTTAAAAATCAGTCACATAAGAATTCTGCTCTATATCCAGAAAAAGGTAAAGTCATACCGTATCATGAATATTCATTATCATTTTCTAATTCAATACAAAATGATTGTGTTTTTCAAGACATCATCATTATTCAAATTACAAGAAATTTTTAAAGCAGCTGTCAACTTTATATTTAGCCTTTTCAACAGTGGCCACCTGGCTAAAAGCCACATTTTGTTAATAACTTTTAATTAGCCCGGGTTAATTAATTGTGTCCTTTCGGGCATTATTAAGTGCCTAGAATGTTATTCATAAAATAATTGGAACGTTTATAAAAGTTTCAATTAAAAATAAATAAAAATTAGGACAGAAAATTTGAAATTCAATTGGCGGAAAGGGAAACATCAGCCCATTGGTTGATTAGACAATCAATTCCATGTTTTTTTGACACGTTTCGTTGCACGTAAAAATCTTTCCCGCTAGAGTTAATTCAAAGTAAGAGTGTTGTATGACTCATCCCCAAGAGTAAATTGTAGCAGATTGGCTGAATTTCAGGTTCAGTGGGCCTCACTGAATTCAGAGTGGTTAAAATTCAAAAATTATCCAATCAACCCATGAATCTTATGTTTAACAGAACGACAATTTCTTACCTTTTAATTTCGCCGAAATGTGTACATTAAAACAAATGTTGCTAAATCCAAAGGGCGAAATATAAGCACAATACAAAAATCTCATTTAATTTGTCATAAGAAATAACATGCAAAAGTTGTAGAAATGAAATCTTTTCCTTTAGAGCGCGATCTTCACGGTTAGTTACCTACCTATTCAAGTTACATAAGCCACGGAATCAGTTTAGTGTAACATTTTGTGTAACTAGAGCAGCGAAAAGTAATCTGATCACTTGTCTGATCAACTAGCTGAACAGTGACTACCAAAGATGCCTACTGTCTTTATAAGCGCCCACAGTAATCACAAATTTAAAAATCTGTGGATTAATCGAGTATAAATGGGTCCCAGTGGTGGATGATCCGAACGTGGTCCGAGGTATTTTCCAGTTACCCAAACAGACGTGAAAGAATTTTACGATATACGGTCACGAATGAAGTAATTTGTCTATTAAGTAATTTTCCTATTTTTATAGGTATAATAGATACTTTCTTTAAGACTACCCTGTATGGACGCTGCGGATTTAGGTTTTTCAAATTGCGCAGTTGGCATACTTGCAGATGTGTTGCATATTGACTCCCTCGGTACGCAAGCGCGCTTAAATTTGAATTTGCTTTAACGCGCTCGAATTAATAGCCTTTGGTCATCACTATTCCAGTTACATAATAGCCCCAACAACCGTCATGATCGTTTACAGCATAATATGGAATAAACAATAAGAATTGTAATATTATTTATTATAATCAAAACCCTTCTACCATCATGGTGTACAGAAAATAAATTAACATAGGTATTCTACCAGATAAGTCACTATAAACCAAGCTATAAACTATTGTGCTCCATTTTTTCCTATCTAGGTGCAGATAGACTAGCAAGTTACTTGCGACAATCTCGCGCGAGAAACTTGCACATGTATTTTATACACTGTGAGCAATAAAGTGTCACGATAAACTGTTGGGCAAGTTGGGTGAGCCATTGCTGTCGCAAGTTCTCACAAAACTGTTTACACTAGTAGCACTTTTAGCTTCCGCAAATGCTGTCAGTTGATACCATGGTGTATTATATACCATATTGTGTTTATGCTTCCCCTTTTCTTCCTATTTTGAATTCCGGTGTTCCATATGTGTTTCGCAAGCCGACTGTTTCCCATTCCCAACTCTCTCTCTACCGTAGGTTTGTAACGTTATTGCTGTAAGTAGATTAAATTACCTATTTCTAATTAACTGTTACAGTACTTAGTGAAACAGTTTCTTCCTATCGCCTTTGGCATACTCTAGGAATTCCTCGAGGTATTCATAGCCATGTACTTGAAATGTAGATAACAACAAAATTCATCTTGATAACATGGCATTAACATTATACCTACCTACAACACCTACTTACAATAGGTAAGCAGCTAAATTAAATTTTTTTCAATTATAACGTTTGCAGGTTATGTTTCTTAGACTATAAAGTTTTCATGCAAATTCAAATTTAAGCGCGCTTGCGTTTGCGCAGTACCGAGGGAGTCAATATGCAAAACATCTGCAAATCAGTTGGCATTCTTGATGGAGATGCTTGCTTTTGATTGGTAGATGGTGTATTGAATTTTTTCCTTGCATTTCCTTCCTTCGTCAACTCCTCGGTCGTCCATTTTGTATTCAATTTGTGAAGGTGAGGTACGTTCATCCATCGTGTATTATGTGTAAATTATACATTTTGCAGTGCCGTGTAGAATAAAAAAGTATGTTTTTAATGTTACATTAAGTCTTTAACTTGTGTTGTAGGCAAATATGAGTGTCTGTGTTGTGTTTTTAGGTGAGGAGTGGTGTCGCGTCATCCATTGTGGTGGTGTTATCGGTTGTGTAGCTGTGCAGAGTGCGTATGATCGGCTCTGGAAGAGACCGAATTACTGTAAGAATACAGAATATGAAGAGGAGTAGTGATCGGGACACACCTCCACGTAGCAAAAGATCTCGTTCAAGCATGGGCCGCTACGACGATAGTTCCGACGAAAGAATCACTCCGGAGCGTATACGACGTCGCCGCAGTCGTACCCCCAGTCCGAGACCACGGTATATTTCGCCCCATCGTGACGAATATCTCCGACCTCCCGAACGGTATCCTTACAAAGTGTTGTGCGTCAGTGCACTGCATCCTAAAGCGAGTGACGAGCTTATTAAAGACACCCTGTATAGAGAGTATAAGAAGTACGGTGATTTAAGTATTCGAATTTCTCACGAGTTAGACGAGCGGGTAGCTTATGTTTGTTTTCGTAGTCCCGAGGACGCACGTGATGCTAAGCATGGTAAACCTCGTATAATTATTTACGATAAAGTAGCTCTCGTGGAAGTGGCTTACGAAGTTGCTCGTCCTGCCGCTGAAATGTATCGAGGTAGACCTCGATCTATTAGTCCCGAATATGATCGTCATTATTATGCCAGATCACCTGGCCCGGAGCGTTTACGTTCAATTGACCGGTATGAACGTGTGTACGGTCCTCCGCCCGGTGTACCCGTACATCGAGATCCTTACAGGCGAGAGGCATTGCCTGCACCCCATCACGAGTACTTATCACGTCAGCCCGTACACCACGGCCCCCCACATCTGCCACCCGGACACGCGTACGGCCCACCAAGGCATACAGTTCCTCGTCCCCCATTCGAAAAAGCCGAAAACAAAAAAGATAAGTTCCCCAACTATTTACATCATATCTCCCCCGAAGATGATCCTCTCTCTACCAGAACGCTGTTTGCCGGTAATCTAGAGATCAATATAACCGAAGAAGAATTACGCCGAATTTTCGGCCGGTACGGTGTCGTCGAAGACATCGACATCAAAAGGCCGCCGCCGGGAACCGGCAACGCGTTTGCGTTTGTACGATTTCAAACCTTGGACATGGCGCATCGCGCTAAAGTCGAGCTTTCTGGGCAGTACATCGGAAAATTCCAATGTAAAATCGGATACGGAAAAGTCACGCCCACCACTCGCATTTGGGTCGGCGGTTTGGGGCCGTGGACTTCGGTTCCGCAGTTGGAGCGCGAATTTGACAGGTTCGGTGCGATTAAAAAGATCGATTACACGAAGGGGGATACTCAGGCTTATATTTTGTACGACAGCATCGACGCCGCGACCGCGGCGGTAAAGGAAATGCGAGGGTTCCCGCTGGGTGGCCCGGAACGGCGTTTACGCACGGATTTTTCGGATGTCAATCCGCCGTTACCGTACCATCGGCCGAAGCAAGTGTATCCGCCGCATGATGAAGTGGTGGAGTACAGACGGGGTGTCGAATATGAGTACGACGTGTACGAGGGCGAAGCCGGCTATCCCAGAGGATATAGAGGTAGGCCGGTTTACGCCGAGCGAAGGGGCGGCAGTCGAGGGCCCTATAGGTACCCGGAAGACGAGTGGAATAGACCGGTTGGTGATCCCGAATACGAGAGGCGGCGGTCTGGATCGCGAGGTGCCGACAGATCACGGTCACGTTCTCCCCGCCGGTCGCCCGACTCCGATTCGGACAGCGGCTCGCGTAGAGCCGGTTTACTCGCTTCAAGTCGTACACTGCCCGAAGTGGCACGAAAATGTTCGACGATTTGGCAAGGGGCTTTAATACTCAAGAATTCGCTTTTCCCCGCCAAGTTCCATTTAATAGATGGCGATACGGATATCGTCGACGGCTTAATGAAGGACGAAGATGGCAAGCATCAATTGCGAATTACGCAACGACTGAGATTAGATCAACCGAAATTGGAGGACGTGCAAAAACGGATTTCTAGTGCTTCGTCTCACGCGATATTTTTAGGTTTGGCCGGATCGACGGCTTCGGTCACTAACGACGACAGTAGTGTTCAAACCAGACCACTCAGAAATCTGGTCTCGTATTTAAAACAGAAGGAAGCCGCAGGTGTAATATCACTGCTTAACAAAGAAACCGAAGCAACGGGAGTATTATATTCTTTCCCTCCTTGTCCCTTCTCCACGGAACTAATAAAACGTTCCTGTCCCAACTTACCCGACGAAGCTATGAAGGAAGACCACTTGATTATAGTTGTGGTACGTGGTGGCACTGCCTAAACCTATCTTTTCCTTTTATTTTTCTTTGGCCACACGTATGGTATACACAGTAGGCGATTTTTAGATTATTTTTGATTTCCAATTTTATTTTTTTATCTTTTTTTAAGTAGAGAGACAAGCTATTAACTCGATAGTAGGTCATCTTATCATAGTCTTAACGTACCTAGTAAGTAAAATCTAACATTTTTTGAGTTATTTCAGGAGATTGGTGAGCAACGCTAAGTCACTTTATTCATGAATTTGTGATCATGTTTATATTTGAAGAATCTTGTGCAGTTCTTGACTCAAACTTGTACCTACTGGTTTATTGTTAGTGAGCAGTGTAGTGCTGCAGTTCTTTCCCATTTTTTTTTTGTTTTTCCTGTTCGGTGATGTGAAATTGGGTTCTCAACTTTTATTGCCTGAAATTGCGTGTGACGCTTTCTAAGAATATGTGAAAGAACTGTACTTACATTTGTTTTATAAACAAAAAGGTGTAAGAGTAGTGTTTTATCGAATGTGACCAGGAAAATTTGAACATTTCAGTGAATTATTCACAGTTCTCATTTTGTTAATGAACTAGCCTCTCTGCTCGTGTTTATTTATAGTGCTTGTGAAACTATATAAATTCATCATTATGTATTTCTCATTAATAAAAACTGTGCTGGTGTTGTGCTTCCAATTTTTTTTTCTGATTGAAAGCAGTGATGCTTGGTAAGTTTTGTGAAAACTTGTTTAAAAAACTCATTTTTTTTCAGTAAATTCCAGATATGGTTCTGGGAATACATCGTAAACATGTCAAAGATCTTCAAAATTTAATTGTACAACATTGTATTTTCCTGGGTATGATTTCTGTGATATTTTCTCTCATTGAATGTGCTTAATTTATGTAGGCATATTACCAAATCATTTGGTACTGTCACTAAGAACTGTTGATCAATTTACATGTGACAGTAAAATGTTACAATTTGTGTTTGTGACAAATTACATTTAGTAATTAAGCACTTTTGTTATGAATTGTGTAATGATTATTAAATCCTCCAGGTTTTTCTATAAATTTTGTAAAGAAATTAAAAGTAATTATTCATTAGCCAAGCCTGGGAGAATTGACAAGTAGAAAAATTCTCCAAACTCGTAATTAGCGAATTTGCATTTAACAAACGGGAAAATCTGGAAGTTGTCATGGAATTTTATGAGAAATGCACCATTGCCGTTTATCTGGGCATACCTAAACGTCCAAAAAAACCCGAATTACCGGTTCTATTTATGCAATTGTTTTGCTTGTAAAACTGGCCTACTTGAACAGTGTATGGGTTCATTGCGTAAGTTGTTTTAGTTTCAGGGAAATGACATTTGTTTTGATTCAGTTATAAATTAGCCCAGTACTTTTAGGATAAAAAGTGTATAGTAAGAGCTGAAAATTTGAAGATCAACTGTTTAAAAGTAACAAACCCTGAAAAGTCTCAACTTCTCATTTAAGCTTCCATCCAAAATGGTGGATCAAAGACCTAACCATTATTAGCCTTGTTTGATGTTTTTAACTATTGTTTACATGAAAGTTAATATTTGCTTCTTAAAATCGTCTTTTCTACATAAATTCAATGCTTATGTATAATTAAATTACTTAGTCCAATGAAACAGTTGCCGAACTTTTGTCAAATTGCGGTACATATTCTTAATTGGCTTTAGACTCTGAATCTATCAACACCTAAGAGATGCTATTCATGAACTTATAGTAGGTACCCATAATGGAAGCAAGTTTGAAGATCTAAAAGAAAACTACGCATTAAAACGAACGTTAATTCTATTGAAACAAAGTCCAAACGTTTCCAGAACTCTTAAATTGTGGTCACAGTACTTGGAACAAGTTACATTTATTCATATCTCCATTCAAGGAGCTCGAACTGGAGACTGGGATATTTACATTTGTACAGTATTAAATCATGGTGTCGTAGCAGGAGCCCGAGGGATGAAAGACTCAACTTTTTCCTACAAGCATGAAAGTATGTGAGGCCTTGGAAGCTTTTTGTGAAAACTCCTTTGTATTGAACTTCGGCCTTCCAGACGGTCGAGAGATGATTCTGATTTGATTAAACTATCCAATTGGCTGCAGCTTCGTAAGTAATCCTTTTGATGATCAACGTACTACACATCTACTAATCAAGTTAGCCATGCAAAATTATAATTTGCAAGAAAAAAGGAAACAATTTAATTAAAACAAATGCCTTGCAACTTATTCTATTTACATATCATTTACATATTAATTAATTAGTTGATAAAACTAACTGTAACAATGCAAAGGGTGTTGGTGAATAATTATATCACTGTCCTGAAAAACCTGAAGTTTTCTATCAAGCCTTGTCCTAACGCACTATCGGTTGTCCCCGCCCATTTGTCCGCCATATTGGAATTTGTAATTACTACCCATTGTGTTTAATTGTTTAAATGGGGAAATCGTACCTAACTTGAGCTTCCAAAGGCATGCGTGGTATTTTAGATTACTATAAAAGGTATTTGATATGGTGACATAAAAAACAGCACGGGAAAGACTAAAAAAAGAAGGTAGATAGATATTTTTTCAAAGAGGCTTGCTAAAAATGCGTTTGTATAATACATAGCTATATACATTTTAAAAAATAATTGTTTTGTGACTAATCGCCAAACGTGTACTCAACGTAAGCAACAGATGCAACTTTTCAATTAAGATATTGGTGACTATATAAGAGGTTGCGCCGACGCTGGCCTGTTATCGCTTCACTTTTCAATTTTTCGCGCATTAGTTCGCGAAAGTTTAAACGGTACGGTGTATGCAGCGTTATTTCAGTGATAAATGCAGTGTAGGATTATGGTCTTTCTCTTCGAGAAATTGAACTGCTGGACTAAAGGCGAGTTTTCATTTAATTAAAATGCATGTAAAATTGGGATAATATACGCAATTTAAAATGGTTTAATTTTGTTTTAACCGTGGTTTTTTTGTGTGATTGTTATAATCGGAATTTTGATTTCTCATGAGGTGACTTAAACACCCAAAAAAGGTAAATGGGTTGCGATTCTACACCTTTATCAAAACAGATATGAAGAGTCAATTATCCAAATTTGTTACGAACTAATTAAAGATACAAATTTTCAAAGATTAACTTTACGGCGCGAATAACCAGTCAAGTGCGCTCGAGAGTGACATTCATTCTCTTGGCGTTCTTCCATTAATAAATGATTTCATTATTGGCGTAATTCATTTTTAGTAGTAACAAATCAGAAGTGGGATAAGGATCCACGAGCGGTGTGGTGGTACTTGGAGATTGGCGAAACCGACGGCTCAAAATTAGTAAGGTGAAGTTAATTAATCAACGGCGACAGGCGTAAGTACTATCTTATTTACCTTCCTTGTGTTGGGGGTAGTATTAATTTGGCGTGTCCAAAAATAGGGCGAATTTTGAAAACTAAAACGCAACTGTGCGATAATACCTATCGGTGTTCAAGATTAACACGTGCACAGTCTATTGTCCTTGCAGGTAGTGGTAGCGTAATATTGGCGTCTCAAGTTGGTTAAGGAAACCTATTGGTTCCCTATAAGAAGTCCAGTTGATGCTGGACTGCGGTTTGCGCCATCTCTGGTAATCCCTATACCTTTCCTTATTATTTTCTTGTAATAGTTGAACCAGTTCCAATAAGATGTCGCCACGTACGTAAATACCTTCACAAGAACATTTTAATTTAAGCACTTAATGGCCACGTCCGACTCAATTTTCCGTAAAGGGCAGTTGAAAATGTGCAATTTCATGTAGGATTTGTAGAGCAATTGTACTTCAATGATCCAGTATCTGGAATTGTCTTTTGTGTATGCAATTGGTACATTTGCGCCATCTCTTTGGTAATCCCTACACTTTTCCTTATTATTTTCTTGTAATAGTTGAACCAGTTCCATTGAGATGTCGCCACGTACGTAAATACCTTCACAAGAACATTTTAATTTAAGCACTTAATGGCCACGTCCGACTCAATTTTCCGTAAAGGGCAGTTGAAAATGTGCAATTTCATGTGGGATTTGTAGAGCAATTGTACGTCAATAATTCAGTATCTGAAATTGGGTTTTGTCAGAGACTTGCTATAACTAGACTGCGCTTAACGTATCTAAGGTGTTGTCGACACAGTATGCAACACACAATGCACCGCGGGGCAAAAATCGCTGAGATGATATGCAGTATAATGAAATAAGCTGTTATTTTAGATGTTCCGTTCATTAATCATTCTCGTGATTAGCTCGAATTAGTGAACATATAAATTTCTGTTGAGAATAAACCAATAAACTTAGGTTAACTTGTGCCTATCAACATGTACTCTGTCGATACATTTTTAAATAATATGCTGATTTTCAACGGATACAAGTTTAAAGGGCCAATGGATCAGAGCCATTCGAAGAGAAAAATTTACTCCCACCATAGTGCATTTGCGGGGAATGAAGCCGATTTTAGAAAGGTACCTACGAAGGTGTTAAACAATAATGCAATAACGAGCGTTTTCGACTTTCCCATTCACTTAAAATAACGTAGAACTATTATTCGACATCCTTTACCAGCAAGACAACGGCAATACCTATTTGCCTATTAGGTATAGACGTAACTAGGTACTAAGTATATTTCAGGTTTTGTTACAAGAAAAATAGCTAAGTCTGTTAAATGTTCCATATGTGCAGATGCGATATTCGCATCAGAGAGTCATTCAAAGCTTTTAACTAGAAAAAATCGTGGAGGATTGTTGCACGTATCAAGCGATGCATTAAAAATTTAGAATAAACATGGCTAAAGCAAGCTGCAGAACGTACGTCTGCCCCGCGATGAACAGTTGGTTGCCTATCCTATCTTGACAACAGGCGTTTATAGTAAAATCTACGTTACGCGCGGTCTAGTTATAACAAGTCTCTGGGTTTTGTGTATGCAATTGGTACATTTGCGCCATCTCTTTGGTAATCCCTATACTTTTCCTAATTATTTTCTTGTAATAGTTGAACCAGTTCCAATGAGATGTCGCCACGTACGAAAATACCTTCACAAGAACATTTTAATTTATGCACTTAATAGCCATGTCCGACTCAATTTTCCTTAAAGGGCAATTGAAAATGTGCAATTTCATGTAGGATTTGTAGAGCAATTGTACGTCAATAATTCAGTATCTGGAATTGGGTTTTGTGTATGCAATTGGTACATTTGCGCCATCTCTTTGGTAATCGCTATACTTTTCCTTATTATTTTCTTGTATTAGTAGAACCAGTTCCAATGAGATGTCGCCACGTACGAAATTACCTTCACAAGAACATTTTAATGTATGCACTTAATAGCCACGTCCGACTCAATTTTCCTTAAAGGGCAGTTGAAAATGTGCAATTTCATGTAGGATTTGTAGAGCAATTGTACTTCAATGATCCAGCATCTGTAATTGTCTTTTGTGAATGCAATTGGTACATTTGCGCCATCTCTTTGGTAATCCCTATACTTTTCCTTATTATTTTCTTGTAATAGTTGAACCAGTTCCAATAAGATGTCGCCACGTACGTAAATACCTTCACAAGAACATTTTAATTTATGCACTTAATAGCCACGTCCGACTCAATTTTCCTTAAAGGGCAGTTGAAAATGTGCAATTTCATGTAGGATTTGTAGACCAATTGTACTTCAATGATCCAGTATCTGGAAATTGTCTTTTGTGTATGCAATTTGTACATTTGCGCCATCTCTTTTGTAATCCCTATACTTTTCCTTATTATTTTCTTGTAATAGTTGAACCAGTTCCAATGAGATGTCGCCACGTACGAAATTACTATCAAAAGAACATTTTAATTTATGCACTTAATAGCCACGTCCGACTCAATTTTCCTTAAAGGGCAGTTGAAAATGTGCAATTTCATGTTGGATTTGTAGAGCAATTGTACTTCAATGATCCAGTATCTGGAATTGTCTTTTGTGTATGCAATTGGTACATTTGCGCCATCTCTTTGGTAATCCAATACTTTTCCTTATTATTTTCTTGTAATAGTTGAACTAGTTCCAATGAGATGTCGCCACGTACGAAACTACCTTCACAAGAACATTTTAATTTATGCACTTAATAGCCACGTCCGACTCAATTTTCCTTAAAGGGCAGTTGAAAATGTGCAATTTCATGTAGGATTTGTAGAGCAATTGTACTTCAATGATCCAGTATCTGGAATTGTCTTTTGTGTATGCAATTGGTACATTTGCGCCATCTCTTTGGTAATCCCTATACTTTTCCTAAATTATTTTCTTGTAATAGTTGAACCAGTTCCAATGAGATGTCGCCACGTACGACATACCTTCACAAGAACATTTTAATTTATGCACTTAATAGCCACGTCCGACTCAATTTTCCTTAAAGGGCAGTTGAAAATGTGCAATTTCATGTAGGATTTGTAGAGCAATTGTACGTCAATAATTCAGTATCTGGAATTGGGTTTTGTGTATGCAATTGGTACATTTGCGCCATCTCTTTGGTAATCGCTATACTTTTCCTTATTATTTTCTTGTAATAGTGGAACCAGTTCCAATGAGATGTCGCCACGTACGTAAATACCTTCACAAGAACATTTTAATTTAAGCACTTAATAGCCACGTCCGACTCAATTTTCCTTAAAGGACAGTTGAAAATGTGCAATTTCATGTAGGATTTGTGGAGCAATTGTACTTCAATGATCCAGTATCTGGAATTGTCTTTTGTGAATGCAATTGTTACATTTGCGCCATCTCTTTGGCAATCCCTATACTTTTCCAAAATAATTTCTTGTAATAGTTGAACCAGTTCCAATCAAAGCAGGGCAGAATACTTTCAAAAAGTATTTGCATACTAAATAGTAAATACTTTAGAGTTTAGACAAATCAGAAGTATTTGAATACTAAATACTTTTACGTCCAGCGCAAGCAAATACTAAATACAGATACTTTGAAAAGTATTCAAATACTTTAGAATGTATTCGAATACTTTCAAAAGTATTCGAATACAGTAAAAGGTATTCGAATACTTGTCACTCAAATAGGTACATTACAAATTTAAAATGGTACTAGATAAAAGTCTTAATACAAGGTACTTAAAAAATGTCAAGTTATACTTTGTATGGGGGCTACTTGGAAGAACTGCGCTTTGTGCGCTGAATGTAGTCCCTTTCCCTGAGGTTAGTTTTTTTTTTATTTCTATTGTTATATACAAATTTAAGAGCAGTAAAAGCGTATTATTATTATATATGAGGTACCAGGACCTTTCTTATAGTATATTTGCGAAAGTATTCGAGTTATAAATACTGCTTCCATAAAAGTATTTAATTACAAAGTATTTGAATACTGAAAAGTGTTTACAAAATCGAATACTGCTCAGCTCTGAACTCGGATATTTCTGCGGGAAATTCTTACAGTCTTTTTGTAACACCCGGTATATCTTCTCCATGTTTACTTCAAGATGTCTATGGGTAAGTTGGGTCTATGGTTTCTTTGACAAGTAAATTTGGCAACCTAGCAATTGTAAAACAAAATGGCACGTGTGTGCCGCAGATGTTATGGTCCTGTTTAAATATTTACAATTATAAATTATTCATAACAATTACAAGAAAGAGGCTTATTGAAAAATGAGGTGATTACTTTAACCGAAAGTGTACGTTCACCTAATTCAATCAGACATTTAATTCCAGTTCCGAAAGGAATGAAGAATCTCATGACTTACATCTTACCGAAAATTCTAATTCTAGTCCAACTTATGACAATACAAATGATATTGATACCGTAAATTTAAGTACAAATCTCAACAACGAATCCTCAATCGCAAATAAAATGTTATCTTCTCAAAACGCCACCGACTCTCACCCGCTTATGTATTCACCTACTTCACCGATATCCACCGATTACCCAGATCTTATACCGGAGCAGGCAAAGCACAGAAACTACCATAACTACGAAACTACTGTGGAGAATTACGATCCCAATGCTTTACCAGGTTAAAATTCGTTTCTTAATTCCACAACTAATTCGTAATTTACAGATTGTCCGCCAAGTCCTTCCGCCATTACGATTAGACGAATTAAAAATGAAGCTCAACAAGAATTTACCGTCGCCGCCGATTTGAGCGACAATGAAAATGACAATTCCGTCTACGAAGCCCGTTTAAGCTCGAATTTACAAAATGTTTCTTTAACAATGAACGAAAAGGAGGGCAACTTAAATTTCTTGGCGCACGGCCGTCGTAGTAATAAACTGAAGCTCATCAAAGTTATACCCGTCAGTGGCGATGATAGTGACGTTTCGAGTATCGACAGTATTACAGATAGTCTGAAATCGGAAGACATCCAAAGTTTACAGAACGATTGCGCGTCTGAGCCCATCGAACCTTTAACTGCAAGTGAAGAGAAGCAACAAGTTAGGCATTTCCAATGCATGTCCTTGCCGGACGGGGAACAACGTAGTATCGATATGAGAGTAATTGAACCTTACAAGCGAGTGTTGTCGCACGGTGGTTATTTAAGGACCGGTGGTCACACTGCTATTGTCGTGTTTTCGTCGTGCTTTCTACCGGACCGGTCCCGTGTCGATTATGATTATGTAATGGACAACTTGTTCTTGTTAGTGTGTGCCTCTTAAATTAAAGACGCTAATTATTTATGTTTTAGATACGTTTTGTGGACATTGGATCGTTTGGTAACCGATGACTACGTATTGACCTATCTACATGGAGGAGCAACTCGTCTTCCGTCATTCAGCTGGCTTAAACGCTGTTATCATATGATTGGTAGGAAATTGAGGAAGAATCTTCTCCACTTATACCTAGTTCATCCGACTTTATGGATTAAAACCATGCTTTTTATGGCTAAGCCATTCATTAGGTAATTAACGGAAGTGTTGCGGATGTTTCGATAAACAGTTTTGTTTCAGTTCCAAGTTTTATAGAAAAATTACTTATGTGGGGAATTTAAAAGAGCTGTATATTAGAATTCCCCCATTAGAGTGTAATGCAATTCCGGATAAAGTTAAGGCTTACGATAGCTTTCATTATGGTTCCTAGTGATTTTTGTGCACAACACTCACCGCCGCCGTCATCCCAGTGCTTCTTGTTTTCGTTTGAATACGTCGAGTTTAGTTAAGATTATTATGTTGTGTAGTCAGTCTCTCGAATTGTGGTATAGTAATGCAATGAGTACGTTTACAGACTTTTTTTATACTTGCATGTTCATTTTGTGGTCGTTACTATAACATTCCTTATTTATTATGTGGTATGTAGGAAAAGTATTAGCAATATATATATATTTTAGTATTTGTAAAGCAACACTGAAAGTATTATTATAAAAATTAATTGTTAGTGTTTGTTATTTTCAAATCAGTTTTATCTAAATTCATTTGCAAAACAACCAGGTATATTCTGGCCTGTAGACTCCCAACTTTCAAAATCAGAAAATTAAGCTTTTAAATTTTCTTTGGGAATTGGTTTTTTTGTCAATAACTTGGATGGGTGTGGATTGTGCAGGTCACAATGTAAGAAGAAATTATGCATTTGGATTGTGTGCAGGTGAATCCAGATGGAAAGAAACAAGGTCAAAGTGTGGTTTCAAAATTTATGTACAACAAGTTGACTTATGGAAGGTCAACTAACAGAGAGACCTGGAAAAGATGTTGGCTCCATTGATTCCTTGAGTAAGTGATATACTTTGCCGAATGAAACCCATTGTGGACTGAGGGTGTCAACAATAACAGTGATAATGAAAACTTGATCATTTGTATGATCTATGAATGAAAATAACTAATACTAACTCAATGAACTAATATTAACAATTGACGACAATATACAGGGGAATCATTAGTGGGTGTGTGGAAGTTTGTATTAACAATATACTTCAATGTACTTATTCTTTACATATGATTTTCAAATTAGGCCAGCCTAAACGAATGCATGAATCGCGGAGATTTTTAGGGCGTGTAAGATATACAGTGTTATTCATGTAGGAGTAGACATAGGGATTTCCTATGTCTACTTTCAAATGATAGTCTGCTAAAAGACGCCTAATTTTATGCAACCAAAATAACTTCTTGAAACAAAAATAAAGTTGTGACCACATAGGAAACCTGAAATTGGTGTAAGGTGTGTTGCATACACTGCAAAGTGGTTAATTATGTAAATATTGGCCTCGGGCGGTAAATAATTACTATTTTAAACAGGGAAACCAGTTGTTATACTTGGGGGTCCTCTCTTTTCCTTGTTTATCAGAGTTGAACAGTGTTGTCATATTTTTCTTTGTTATATCGTAAAGTAGCTTTATTTTATTTTATGTTTTTGCACCGAGCATTTCGGTACCTAGTCCGTTTTATTGAAGCGAATGTAATTAATTATAGATTTTTCATCCCCTTGAAAAAGAGGCGGTTTTTTTCAGAAATCGTGAGATCTCGGAAACTGTTCAACTTTACGGGCCCAAAATTGTCTCCTTTTTTATCATAAAACAAGCTATGTTTTCTCCAAATTTCATACCCCTACAAAAGTCGTTAATTTTTTTTATTCTCTATAACTTTTATATTGAGCCTAAAGCCTAAAATTAGTAGCTTTGCCACAAATTGCAAAACACCACTTTCCACCCCTTTTAACCCCTGGGTTTTCATCCGCGGAAAAATTCAGCTGTTTTAATTATTTTCCCCTAATTTCTAATCATTTCACCTGCGTGAAAAACCCGGTTTGAAACGGTAACTAATTTTTTTGTCAAAAAATGTTATATAGTCTGGACTGGACCATTGAATATATAAGGTGCTTATTCAATGGTACCACCCTACCTAATTAGTAATTACTTATAACGAAAGTCCGCATTCTAACATTAATCTGAAATTAATTACTGAGATCATTAATGTGCCTAAAATTACCAGATCCTTATATGGAGCTAGGTAATTGTTTATTATGTAAAGATAATGGTCCTTAGAACAGTTCTTGTCGTTTTCTTATTAGATCAAAACTACATTTTTTACTTTATTTATTGTTCCTTATGATCTTATATTTCATATTGATCCTCCCTTACATAATATTGTTATTGGCATTGAATAAAAGCTTATTCAATATTTTAATCTAGTTTATTCAAACTCAAAGCGCTTGCCAAACATCTGGCAACGTTGGAATTTTAAAGAAGTAAAGAAATCTGCAAAGTCGGTAACTAGCTTTAAATTTGTGGTTCACTTTCCCCCACAACAGAGGGACGACAGAATCCTGGGCAGATTTTCTTATTTCATCAGTTAACACGGGCGTTACACTTCTTTAAAATGCTTATTCAATGGGTCTGACTGTCATATTAATTTTAATTTGAATATCGTTGCTTTGGCGTCACAGAAAATAAATCTCTTAAGCTCCTTTAACTGTTATCGGCACTATACCAATTCTTTTTCTTTAGTCGAATACATCGCACACGAACGAAAATTAAAATACGGAAGTCAAAGCGATAATATTCAAATTAATTAATATGACAGGCAGATCTTCATTTGTTGTAGGTAGTTACTTTGGTTGCATAAAGTTAGGCGTCTTTCAACAGACATTTATCATGTAAAAGTAAACATAGGAAATTCCTATAGGAAATCCCTATGTCTACTTCTACATGAAAATCACTGTATATTCAACTTAGGTCTGGGTATACATTAACTGAACTATTTACTTCAAACTTGTAAAAAAAATGTATAAATGTAAAAAATTTTCTTTTTTCAAAAGACAACAAAATTATGTGAAAGGGAAGAGGCTTTAGCCTGTATCTAGCACCTACAAATATAAAACCTCATGGGATATCTTAAAGGCAAGACATTTAAAGTGAAACGAGCCTTCTTTTCTAAACGCAATGACCTCGATTGGCGTGCCAAACGTATTTTTAGTTTGGATTATGAAAATAATTTAAATACAAGTGGAAGTACTTGCTCCTCTTCAGTTACAAATATTGACTAACCTAACATTTGAGCAAAAATATCCTTGCATTTATAGGTTAGGAATTCGTGATCATAAAACTTTTATGCTCAGTTTGTTCACAACTTTAGCAATCATGATCATAAGATCACACTTCGAAAGAATGTGATTTGACAATCTAAACGCCTATGATCGCCAGACTTACTTTCGTTCAAGTTTGCTATGAAGCGGTACATGTGAAAATTTTCCGTATGTTTAACAGAATACAAAATCAATATGAAATTTTTAAAACTGCTAAGCGACCACCTATTGTACCTACCTTTTTTTACGCCTTACTCCTTTCGTCGTCATCTTTCATGTCCTTTTCGCAGTAATCATTTGTCTAGGTTAATTCCTTCCACCAATTCACGCCTGCCCCAAACCTCCCTTCTTATGTAGGTACCTACCTATCCTTCACTTCCTTATTGTAAGCTGTTTGTAAGTCTTTCACCCCCTTTGGGAAATTCACTAGTGGTGTAAAATGGGTTAAGAATCAGGTCTGCCCCAAACTTCCCTTCTTATGTACCTACCGCCTTCACTTCCTTATTGTAAGCTGTTTGTAAGTCTTTCAAACCCCTTCGAGAAATTCACTGGTGGTGTAAAATGGGTTAAGAATCAGGTACTTTAACAGGTTTTGTTTGAACAGTTTTTATCAAACCTGCCTTATTTTGTTGCACTTTAAAATGTGGAAGAAAAATATATACAAAATTTCTTCGAATGATCGCTTCCCTGAATGAGGGGAGCTTTAAATGAGGTTACCACGTCTTCATAAGTGATTCCTAATTCCAAATGGAGCCCGCCAACCCCACTTTGGAAATTCCCTTATGAGAATAAGTACAGTTCAGACGGTGAGTAAATTTATTAACAAAGACAAAAGATGTACATCTTAATTCACTCACAAGTTATTATGTAGCATGTTACATAATGTTTCTTATAGGTATGTATTAATTGTTCTAGGGAATACCAGGTAACCGCTTCCTCTTAAAATACCATCTCCTCTCTGTGGAAGGTTACAGCGACAGGTGCAGTAAGGAAACCACGCTCATTTGTTGGATTCTGGAAAATTAAAGTCAGTATGTGAGTACATTAGTACAGTCGATTATGAGTGCGTGTCAAAGAGCTAACTACACTTATACTTTTACGTCCAGCACAAGCAAATACTCAATACAGATACCTACTTTGAAAAGTATTCAAATACTTTAGAATGTATTCGAGTACTTTCAAAAGTATTCGAATACTTTCAAAGATATTCGAATACAGTAAACAGTATTCAAATACTTGTCATCTCTTTGGTTATAATCCCTATACTTTTCCTAATTATTTTCTTGTAATAGTTGAACCAGTTCCAATGAGATGTCGCCACGTACGAAACTACCTTCATAAGTACATTTTAATTTATGCACTTAATAGCCACGTCCGACTCAATTTTCCTTAAAGGGCAGTTGAAAATGTGCAATTTCATGTAGGATTTGTAGAGCAATTGTACTTCAATGATCCAGTATCTGGAATTGTCTTTTGTGTAAGCAAATGGTACATTTGCGCCATCTCTTTGGTAATACCTATACTTTTCCTAATTATTTTCTTGTAATAGTTGAACCAGTTCCAATGAGATGTCGCCACTTACAAAACTACCTTCATAAGTACATTTTAATTTATGCACTTTCTTATTAATTTTGGAGCGTAGAATCCAAAACAATTCGTACTTTTTCGATCAGACTTCTCAATCAAAAGTTATGGACTAGAAACCAATTTCTAAAGAAAATTCAAAGGGCTGTAACTTTTCATCTAGTAGTCCAGTCTTGGAACTGTTTGAAATTATGGATTCTACAGGCCAAATTCAACTGATTTGATCTGATTTATTTCATAAATATCTCAGCTCTTTTGGGATACGTAGTTACCCATCACAAGATATTTTTTAATCTGACTTCACTTTTTAGCCGGTCTCAAGCAGTACCTACCTCCATCGCTAGCTATGTAAAACGACGACACTTCCGATGCGAAGACCGAAGGAACTAGTCAACTCTGCAATTGTCAACAAATCTTAGGTAGGACACGTTTACTGGATAATCTTATTGTTGTAGGGGTGAGTGATTCGGCGCTGTCGTCATCATCATTCCGGTCCATCCGTCATCGAGGATTACTAAGGTAGCTACTAGTAGTCAATCACTGCTAGTAGCTTCAATTGAGAACATACGTATCAAGTTATTTATTTTTTAAGTTATCACTGTTACAAGAAGATCTTTGTAATACAAAAAAACACTTGTTCATCTCTAGAATTGCCCTACTGCACTTTGCTGGCAGCTGGCACTAGTTCATCACACGACATATAGCCTCCCCCAGCAAAAAAACAATGAAAACTGTGAAAGCAAACGAAATTTTTTTAATTTAAAAGAGAATCTATATTCATATGTATTAAGTAACTATTGAAAAATACAATAAAAAAAATTTTTAAATTTTTTTGTTTTTTTTTCAAACATTCCTTTTTAAATCAAGAAAATGATTTGAAATCCTTTTTGAATTCAAAAAACTTTTTTGAATCACTTTTTTGAATAACTTTTTTGAATCACTCCTAACTTTTTTTGAATCACTTTTTTGAATAACTCATAACATTTTTTGAATCACTTTTTTGAATCACTCCTAACTTTTTTGAATCACTTTTTTGAATCACTCCTAACTTTTTTTGAATCACTTCTAACTTTTTTTGAATCACTTTTTTGAATCACTCCTAACTTTTTTTGAATCACTTCTAACTTTTTTGAATCACTTTTTTGAATCACTTCTAACTTTTTTGAATCACTTTTTTGAATCACTTCTAACTTTTTTGAATCACTTTTAAATCTCATGAGCAGCTTCTCTCACTTGATACTTGATACTTGATACTTGATACTTGATACTTGATACTTGATACTTGATACTTGAACTTGATACTTGATACTTGATACTTGATACTTGATACTTGATACTTGATACTTGATACTTGATACTTGATACTTGATACTTGATACTTGATACTTGATACTTGATACTTGATACTTGATACTTGATACTTGATACTTGATACTTGATACTTGATACTTGATACTTGATACTTGATACTTGATACTTGATACTTGATACTTGATACTTGATACTTGATACTTGATACTTGATACTTGATACTTGATACTTGATACTTGATACTTGATACTTGATACTTGATACTTGATACTTGATACTTGATACTTGATACTTGATACTTGATACTTGATACTTGATACTTGATACTTGATACTTGATACTTGATACTTGATACTTGATACTTGATACTTGATACTTGATACTTGATACTTGATACTTGATACTTGATACTTGATACTTGATACTTGATACTTGATACTTGATACTTGATACTTGATACTTGATACTTGATACTTGATACTTGATACTTGATACTTGATACTTGATACTTGATACTTGATACTTGATACTTGATACTTGATACTTGATACTTGATACTTGATACTTGATACTTGATACTTGATACTTGATACTTGATACTTGATACTTGATACTTGATACTTGATACTTGATACTTGATACTTGATACTTGATACTTGATACTTGATACTTGATACTTGATACTTGATACTTGATACTTGATACTTGATACTTGATACTTGATACTTGATACTTGATACTTGATACTTGATACTTGATACTTGATACTTGATACTTGATACTTGATACTTGATACTTGATACTTGATACTTGATACTTGATACTTGATACTTGATACTTGATACTTGATACTTGATACTTGATACTTGATACTTGATACTTGATACTTGATACTTGATACTTGATACTTGATACTTGATACTTGATACTTGATACTTGATACTTGATACTTGATACTTGATACTTGATACTTGATACTTGATACTTGATACTTGATACTTGATACTTGATACTTGATACTTGATACTTGATACTTGATACTTGATACTTGATACTTGATACTTGATACTTGATACTTGATACTTGATACTTGATACTTGATACTTGATACTTGATACTTGATACTTGATACTTGATACTTGATACTTGATACTTGATACTTGATACTTGATACTTGATACTTGATACTTGATACTTGATACTTGATACTTGATACTTGATACTTGATACTTGATACTTGATACTTGATACTTGATACTTGATAGTTGATACTTGATACTTGATACTTGATACTTGATACTTGATACTTGATACTTGATACTTGATACTTGATACTTGATACTTGATACTTGATACTTGGTACTTGATACTTGATACTTGATACTTGATACTTGATACTTGATACTTGATACTTGATACTTGATACTTGATACTTGATACTTGATACTTTTTACTTG